GTGCTCTCGGCCAGTGCAGAGAGTGCCCTGACATCGTCCTTTTCTCTTTGGGAGGGCTCACTCCTCTGTGGAGTGGCCTGTTTTTTGCTGATTTTGGATAACCATGTAGAGTAATAAAAGGACCAGAGATTTCACTGTGGGCCAGTAGGTCCAACCTCTATGTTTCTACCCTCAGGTCTGTGTTGCTGACACTCCTGATAGCAGGGTGCTATAGCAGTTTGAGAGCTGTTTGGGCCGTATGCTTTGTGATAAGGCGCTAAGGGTCTTGATTTCTATGTGTGGGTTACTGATCATGTTCATCCCTTCTGCCCCACCTCCTTGTGTGAGTCAGGCTTTAACCTTGTGATGTCTCCTTCAGGTTTTCTTTTCTTTTTCTCCATCAATAGGCTTAAATGTTTAAAATGAAAATTCTCAGGTCCCACTCCTTCCTACCAAGGCAGAAACTCTGAGGATGGAGTCCAACAGTCTGTTTTAACTAGTTCTTTAGGTGATTCTAATACTTGGTAAAAACCAGTGAACTAGGAATTTGCTTGGTTTTTACAACCAAAAAGAACTGAGAACTGGAGACCATGAGGCCAATGTCAGGGACAGTGATGAAAACTGCAATCCTGTGGCTAGAGGAGCCATGAAGAGCGAACATACAAAGCTTCACAAGCTAGCACTTCTCCAGGCTTTCCTCAAATTTCCCAGGAAAGCAGGAATAACCAGATTTCTTGAGGCTGGTGAAATGATGTCCCAGCTGATATAATATCAGAGGACCCCACAGTTCTCCAGTAAAATGAAACCTTATGGATCACAGATTCCACAAGGGGTTTAGGTGCAAGCCTGACAGTGGATCCAAGAAACCCATTCTTTTGCTGTTTCTCTACTCTGAAAGCTTACTGGAATCAAACCTAGTTAGAAGATGATCCTTGTTTTCCCAGCCTATGAATTAAGGGTTTTTATTATAGAAGGGACCACTGTAAGCCTTTTCAAAGGTAAGACTTTCCAACACAGTAAATCCCAAGACAGTAGATCAGAAGCAGTGTTCTGCATAGTCACAGTGGGGATTGCTGAAATTAGTACTAACAAGATCTAAAAGATTGGGGGATACTGATTCCCTAATATTCCTAATCATTTCACGTATCTCGCCACTGTAAGTCATACAGATCACAGTGGGAACTAGTGGATACTATAAACATAAAAGTGATATCCCTAATTACATCCTCTGTGCTAGATATTAGAGGAAAACACTTAACTTCTGGCACTAATTTGTGTTGTTTTGCTGAATGTTGTATTCCCAATTCTCCTCAATAAAGAGGATCAAAAGCAACTCACTTTTTATATCACAAGGACAGCAGTGAGTCTGTCTTGCCTTAGGCCTTTGTTAATTTCCCAGCTGTCATGGTCCATTTTGGAATGATCTCAATCTTCTTGATATTCTACAGTGCATCATGCTAGTCTTCTATAAATTGATAGACATTTCACTAATTGGACCTAATAAAGAGAATGTATGTACTTTGAATATGCTAATAAAATACATTCTGTCATGGGTAGAATATTTAGGAAAAGACTCAAGAAGTCCAGAATAATGCAAAACTGACTTGTTGATTTAGAACTTTATCACCTAACTATTACACTGTTCTACTCCCTCAGCTACCTATGGCTTTGTGGGAAAGTCCTATAACCAGCTAATGGAAAAGAGAAGATCTTGAATCTAATTCAAAGACAGTGAAATGTGATGGTGGTATAGACGTGGACCACTGTCACAATACAGCACCTCAGAAGTGACTCCGAAAGAATAAGCAGAGCCACAAGTAGGCTTTTGACAGCCAGGTAGGGTGGAGGACCTATTTTCTGGGTGTCAACCAGAACTCTCCTTGGTCAATCCACTGTTTGTACAATGGGCTTTTGTATAAAGTGGCCTTGCTTGCAGGCTCATATCATGTACAAAGACCCAAGAGTAGGGTCTTTGGGAACCGAGGGGCAGGGCGAGGATTAGAACCCTCTCACCATCTCTCTAGGACTCACTGGCAGAATTTCTACTTTCTATCCCTACGATCTTAGTATCATCTGCCCTGTGGGAACTCCTGCTTTCCAGGATAAAATAGCTTTCTAGAAAGCACATTGTTTCACTGAACTAGAAGTTCAGCCATTCTGAATTCTTCATTCTAATGGATAAGCAAGAGAACTATTCTATTGACTGCATTAACTGATTCCGGTTCTCATGACAAATGAGGCCACCGCTACACGATGTGGGCAAATGCAAGTTCATGGGGACTCGGGACTCACCGAGGTACCTCTTGGTGATGAAATGACCAGTGACAGTAAATGGCACTCCAGCAACTACTGCCTGGCAAAGGAAAGCAGCCCAGAATCACATCTGTCAGGGGTGAGGGGCTGCATCAACCTACCAGGCAAGCAACCCAAAGCAGTTAAAATGCTAGAGGTGAGAAAAATTAGAACACCCAATAAACACGGGAGTTGATAAGTAGCAGCTATGACCCTGGGGCCCTCTGCAGCAGTCAGGACTACAGTTTGGTTTGCTAATCTTCTTTAAATCTTGTTTGGGGGATTGAAACTGTCTGTTTGCAAAGGCTGCACTTACATTTCCTTTCCTAAAGAAGCAGAAAGAACATCTTCTCATAAAAGAGATCTAGGCTATCACAGGATGCATGTGAATCCATTTGGTCCTACAGGTGTTCCAGGCTGTGTATCATCCTAGACTCACAAATCCCTCCTACCTTCTCCAATCCACCCAAGTATCAGCCATTTGCAATGTCTCTGGCTATTCTAAATATTCCTGCACTGGTGATGTCCCAGTCACTGCCATCATACATTTGAATTCTCACACAACCCCAACAACTCAATAAGAGTGCCACACTGTGGCCCAGCGGCTCTGGAGAACATTACCTGGACACACGTGAAGTGAATGCTTTGAAGGGTGAATGTAAGCACTGAATAGAAATCGGTGGGAAATAACATCAGGAAATACTTTACTCACGCTTCCTTCTCTACAATGGACTGCTCTGAGATGCACTTTCCCTGTGGTGTCTCTAGAGACACTATGAAAATCTAGGCATCTATAAAACTCTGGCTATTTTGCCTACTCATCCCCTTAACGTTTTTCTCCTTCCTCTGTTGCCTCATTACCTCTCTCTCATTTTTGCTTCCCTGGGAATCCACCTGTACCCAAATAAAGTGTTTGCATTTTAAAATTTTGTTGTAGGTAATTTTCCAGTGATCCTGAGCTAAGATAACAACTCACTGCAGTCAAAAAAGAGTGGGAAACTATTTCCAGTCCAACATGTAGGGAGTTTAGAAGTTACCACTCCATCCTATCCTAACCATGAGTAAAATATTGAATTGAACTGAAACAAAACAAAACAACTTTTCTTAGCTTTTTCAGAGAAGTGAGATCCCAGGACAAATTGCTGCCCTCCAAATTGGAGACCAAGAAATCACACCAGGGCAGAAAATCATGAGGAGACACTTCCATGGAACCAATACAGGATAGAAATATCCGAACTATAATTGACAACTGGTTAGAGAGTCGTGGTGAACAAGGCTGTTAAGAGCCCCACAGTCAGAGAGGGAGCCTACGTGTTTGTGAGTTTACCTCCAGAACTCCACACCAGGTCCTCGGAGTGAAGAGTGTAGGGAAATCTTGAGTTCCCAGCAATGGCAGGAAAAGGGAATATGCTGAAATGTCAGAGGATTCTGGTCTTAACAAAATCTGCTCTCAGGAGAAATCATTTTACCAGAATTAACCTGCTGGGGTTTTCCAGAATCTAAGTAACTAGGGTTAAGGGAAGACCCAACCCAGGCCCATCTAACTGTCCTGTTTCACCTAGAAAAAAATACTGAGAAGCATGGGTGAAGTTCATGGTTCAGGGGCACACAGCGAGAGGGAGATTAGTCAGAGGACTATGGATGAGTGCCCTCCCTACTCACCACCGCATGACTGAAGGTTTATGTACTGCAACTCCTTTTATCCAGTATGTCACATTTACTTTTTAATAACTACAAAAACAACAAAAAAGCATAGTATATGGTTTAGAAAGAACTAAACAAGCATCAAAATCAGAGTCAGACACAGCAAGGAGATTGGATTTATCAGAACAGAATTTTTTTTTTAAATATAAAGATCAGTATGTGAAAGGTTATGAGACCAACATCCCAGGTGCCAGCAGGTGTCTGCTGACCCATCACTTGGCACCAACCATTTATGTGATCACCAGGGCACCCAGGGGCAGGGTCGACATGCGAGCGTAAACCAAATTTTTAATTAAGAATACATATTCCGTCAAATCATCATGAGCAGCTAAATTCTACCCCATTGCAAATGAATTTCAATAGCATTACATCATGTCAAGCTCTTTTAAGACAAAGGTACTTTAAAAATAAGCCAAAGTGTAAGCATAAAACTTTTTTGGTGTCAGAACACCCAAGAAGACAAAATGCTTTGGATTCACTTAGGGGATGAAAACTGACCTCTTTTCCTATTACCACTACACTCCTACCCCAACCAGCAAGAAAAGGAAGTGCCAAAAAGAGGAAAAACCTCAGAATTAGGGAAAAGTTCAGAGTCGGGACCAAGTAACTGGGATTTGAGTACTTATGCTCCCACTTTACCCACACAAGCCTCAGGTTCTGCCAAATGCAGCGTCCTGCCTGCTTCTTCCAGCACATTCCCCCTCACCACCACCAAGACCAGAGTTGGGGTTTTAAACTCGAAATATACCAACAGGTAGAGAAACTCATTACATTGATTTCAAGTTACCTTACAAATACCTCTCACGCATAATGCAATAAACTGCCCTAAACTGCTGCTGAAACTTAATGTTGTAGAAGTCTCCTCGTTTGCTCTGACAAGATGAAGAGAAATATTTTCAAAGGCTGAGTCCCTTACCCGATAGTCATATCATGTGCTTCAATCGAAAAGAAAAAAAAAATCAGCCAGTGTTTAAAAATCTGCTTTAATTATATTTCCGTGAATTCCAGAAGAACATCGTTGCAGTTAATGTTACAAAAAAGCAAAGAGGGACATTTGAACATGCGATAAAAAATGGATTTGCTGTGAAAATAATGCATGTTGATACTAAAATAGAGTTACTTATCTCCCAGAAAGGAAGGGTTTCTTTTAATTATCTAGTCACTTGGATTTTATTATGAGAAAATATTTTTTTTTCTTGAAAGCTCCAATTTGTGCTATTATTACTGTTAGAGTCTAATGGAAAGTCTCTCATTCTGAAAGCCATTTGCAGTCTATCGTTTGATCTGCAAACTTAGTACAATAGCTTGGCAACTTTGTTCTTGTTACACACAAAGCCATTAGCAAAAATATGTAACAAAATTTATCTAAAGCAAACAACTTTGTCCTTATATACAGAAGTTTGTTTTATTCCTTACAACCTCAGCCTACACTAAAATGATTGGGTGTGGGAGGATCAACTACCAATCTCCTTGGCAGTTTTACTCTGCATGGATGTTGGAAAAGTCTTAAAAGGTACGGTACTTTAATCTTCATTTAACAGAGTTGTAAAAATAAATGCATCTGGGCTTCTCAACAAAGAAGGGAAACTAGGAAAGGTGAAAAAGGCTTTAGAGTAAATTCATCCCTTTGTCATTTGCAAAGTCTCTTAATTAGCTCAACAGAGAGTAGAAATGACTATATTTGTGACTATAATCTGAGGACAGAGTAAAGAGCATCCTGGCAAAACACGTACATTATAACCCAAGCTGCTAGAAGTTTCACATCTAGGGCATGCACACGTCATACCAATAGGTTTACAACTCAGGAGAGAAAGATGATAGTAGGTGGCAACTGTCACAGACCCTATATACAAACGCATAAACACATGGCATCAAAGGGAGACCGAAATACAAGTTTAAAAATACATCTTAAAGTCATTTCAAGTGCAAGGGCTATTCTTACTGAAAACTGACAATCTACAGGGTAGCTGTAAACAGTGAAAATGCAGCTTTCATGTAACTCACAGTCTCAAAAGAAAATAAATTTCCGGTTTATCATCATTACATGGCTCAGTCTGCAAAACTGAGTTATCGGAACAGAACTGGTCCAGGTGGCCGGCGCGCAGGGCAGCACAGCCCTCCGGGATGCCCCGACCCTCCACGCCTTTGGAACCCAGGTAGCCCGCGATGTAGGAGCCGGTGGAGTGCCGGGCGCCCAGGGGTGGGGGTGCGCTGGGCTTGCTCCGGAGAACCACTCCCCCTGTGTTGCTGGGGTTCACACCTTTTTGCTTGTTGGCTTCCTGCTTTTCCTTGGCACGACTGGCAATATTGCGTACTCTGCTCTGACTTCTGGATGACAACTTTCTGACCAGCGCCCTGGGGAACTGGTTGGCATCCTGCTTTGAATGCAGCATTTGACAGCCGTCTTCCTGGTCAAAGGACACGAGCTTCCGTAGCTGCTCTGTGAGAGCATCTGCAGGCTCCAACGAGTCTGTCTTCACACTCACAGCCTTCTTCTCTCGAGCTCCCGGGGTAACAAAGCTCTTACTGATACACTGGTACTTACTTTCAAAATTGCAAGCGATGTCCTCTGAAGTTAAGTCTCCCAGACTTTTGGATTTGCAAGGACTGGGTAGCTTCAGAACAGGTGGAGACGGCCGTGGGGACCACGGGGACCGTGTAGGTACAGGGACATGCATGTCTTTAGCACTAGACAGGGACACACAAATCTGGTTCATTTTTGCATCTGAATTTGGGACATGATTATGCACAAAGTCAGCACCCTGGTAGGCTAGGTGAGAAACACTTTGATGCTTGATTTCCGCAGTACTGGTAAACGTGTCAGGGGCAGAAGGGTGGAGAGTATCTTTGCAGTAACCATTTCTCAAGCCTCTTGGATAATGTTCCAGCATGTCCTGAGCAAACTTCAGTTTTAAAGGCGACACTAGATGGCTGGTACCCTCTCTCATATATTCACAAGTTGTTAGGGACAGATTTTCTGAGTCTCCATCCATCTCTACTAGGCTGCTCTCCCCAGAATTTAAGCAGAGAGTGGCATCAGCTCTGACATCTTCCAGTACCAAGTTGGTGGAAGAGGCAGGGCTGTGCTTCCTCGGCCTTTCCCAGTCTTTTCCATTGGTGGGGGTTTTTGGTGACCAGCAGTGAGGAGTATGAGAAAACATCTTGGACTTACCAGAACATTCGCCTTCTGGTTTCACGTTAGAGACAGTAGTACAGGCAGTTTCTTGAACAGCTGCATGTGTAGACTGTTCCAAGATCTCAGGAGCTGAGGACGCAGTCCGCTCCGGGGATAAACACAGCGGGGATGCCATGGATGTTCTCTGGGGAAAACTGTGCTTGAGGGCTAGGTCTAGGCCCCTGGTGGGCAAGGGGTGGTGGTGTGGTAGCCCTCCAGACTTCGAGAGAGGAGAAACAACGGGGAGGTCAGCCTGAGCACCGGTCTCATCAAACTGGCCAATCAGAGCTGAGATGGAGCTACCCACCTCATTCTCATTTGTTAAAGTGACATTATCAATTAGATGGGAAAGGTCGCTCTCCTGCAGAATTGCAGTAGAATGCAAATCGGGCACATCAGGGCAGAGGGCAGAGACATCTGACAACGAAAAGGATGTTGCCACGCTGCCCTTACCCCAATTTCCTCCTAGATTCTTGATCTCCAGGTTGCTTTGAGAAAGGATGCTTCCCGGTGTGCTTTTCCCCTCCACAAAGGTCCCAGCACTCCCATTTTCTTTGGCTGTCATAACACATACGTCCTGGGGTGGGTTCGCTGCAGGATGAAGAGCCACATGCTGCCGTGGTGGGAGGGGTTTGCTGGGGCTCTGGTTAGCCCGGTAGTCATGCGAGCCATTTGATTTGGGGCCCCTGCCCTGAGCACCTGGCACTCCCAACTCTTCTCTCAAGATTGACATTCTGGCAAGAGAATTAGCGGGTTCCCCTTGGCTGGTGTCTTTGTGGTGGAGAGCGCTAGAGGAAGAGGATAACTTTTTGCTGAAATTTGGAAAATGTTGATCTTTTATACTTGCCTTGCCTTTTCTTCTGCGATCCTTATCTTCTGCTGAATGAAACAAACAACATTTTAGGAGACATGCATCACTCTATGAAGGACCTGCCACACTCATGTTTGTCTTCAGACAGACAAATGGAGAATGTAAATCTGTTATACTGTGATAGCATATAATTATGGGCTGCATAGATTTGCAACAAAGTGTCTGAGTGATGAATAAATGGTAAAATAGATTGATAGGAATTTCACTGAAGCTTCTCTTTGAATATCTATTACATCAGCTAAGGATGTAATAGTCATTGCCAAAAAAAAAAAAATGTCAATGAGTTATCATACTTTTACAGTGAGGATTACCTTAAGTTGTTTCCTATTCAGATTTGTACTACACAGAAGCATGGCAATAAAAACAGAACAAAACAGCTCTGTTACAAAAAGCATTGTGGTACCTGCAAGCAAGATACTATAAGCGTTCAAAGTTAGATGTGTATTAGTAAAATAAAAACAAAAGATTCCACACATACCATTTTAAAAAACATTTTGCCATAGAATCTAATTTAACCAACAAGTTTCTAAGACAAGTTTCGAGGGTGCAGCAAACGCATTAAAAAAATCATTATCTGTTGATATAAAGAATGGTTCACCGATCTATGCCTTTGCTATTCGCTAACTTTTGGTTAATCATATTCTTGTTTTAAATATACAAACTTCATGTTACATTTCCCCCTAGAAGAGGCAGTAAGATATCAGGCACAGCAAAGAAAATTATTTTAAAAACACAGTTCGCAGTCATTTGGTGCATTCCACCCTGCTCTGTACAGTGCTGCCAGAAAAGTGGTTGTTTAGTTCTTTTCGATCTTAAAGAGTCTTTCAGTGCTTTTCGGCACTGAAATGCAAAAAAAAATTTTAACCTTTGATCAAATTTTTCCTAACAAAAATTTCTTCATCAGAAAAAAATGTGATATGCCCAAAAATTATAAAGAAAAAAATTAAATATTCTATGATGTCATCACTTATATCCTATAAGCTTTCAAGGATAGAATATTCTATGTTACCCTTTCTCCACTTAATCATTTTTTTCTACATTATAACTTACATCAATGCATGCTTAAGTCTATTGTTCCTTGTTTACTATAAATGTTTTATGATTGACTTAGACAACTGCTTTTTAAAGGGAGGAAAGAATCACCTTAGTAATGCTTTCTAACTCTCCTTACTAGTATTAACATCTTAATTGTGGTTGGTGTTAATAGACGATTACCAACTTTAATTGATTTTAGCTTTATTTTCCTCAGAATGGGATTTTAAAAATAGATTTTAAAACACATATTTCATCTCCTCTCTGACACACTATTGCAGAATTTCAAACTTTTAAACTCCCTTCTTCCATAAGACTTTCAAAGTAGGTTTGTCTTTCAAGAATATCTCATGAGTATCAGCAAAATCACTGAAATCAGGTCACATGATAGAAAAGAATTGTGCTAAAGGAAATAAGTATCACATCTTACTTGTCTGAAATCTGATTTAATTAAAACAGTATTTGGTGCGATGGCATCAAATGGACAGTTCTAGTACTTAAGTCAAACAAATCAGGCAGGGGAAGGAGTCAGCCATATCTGTTAAGAGCTCTTTGGCAATTAGCAAAGTTACTTCCTCTCTTCATCAAGTTTTTGATATGATGAAGCACTATGTTCCAATTAGAGATAAGGATTGGTCTTGCTGTTCTCTGTGTTTGAGGACCCTAAAACTGGACAACCTGTTTTCCCTGCCAGCACTCAGGGAACACAGAATGAGGCCACAGGAAACATCACCTGAGCTACCTCTTGATAATGCAGATTTCTCAAGTAAAGAAGGTGACTTGCTTTAAGCATCTGACTTTCCCTCTTTTTCCATAAACATGTTCAATGGTGGAAATACAGTTTATGGTGGAGAAAGAAATACAACTATAGTCCACCTCAGAACAATCTGGAGAAATGGTAAACGTGCAGAAAACTAAGACTTCAGCTCCTATGTTGTGAGTTTCACCACCACAAAGCATACCTTGTGGAACCAGTCTCCGAGCCCTCTTACCTGAAGACCCCATTATTTTTCATGCTTACGTCAGACTATAGTCTGAAACCAAATGTTTTAAGTGACTAGGCTATAGCTCTTTGACCACCCACCCCTCCAAGTGTAAACTGATCTAAAAGATGACATTAACATTATTTTTCGTTATATTTTACTCTGACTACAAAATATCAACCACATCATAATGGTCACCAGTGATGACTGTTAGAAGGGTTTATTCTTACAGGAACTAAAAGCATCTTACCCAGCGAATTTTCTTTCCCTTCGGTGTCTCTTTCGGTTTCAGATAGAGGCAGCGACAAAGCCCCTAGAAGACTTTTGTCCACAGGCATAGAGACAGGGCGTGCTTGCAAACTCCGTGGGGTCCTCCTTAGGACCCCGTCTTGGTCTCTTGTGGCCTCTGACACCGAATCCTTTATCTCTACCATTTCCTGGAAGCCCATTTTGCTTTTCTTTCTGCCTTTGGCTGGAGCGCTGGCCGTGCGTCTCAGAATCCTATCTCCAATTGAACGTTTCCGAATATAATGGGAACTGCCCTCTGAGGAAACATGCCTGGGATTCTTATTGAACAGTCCCTTCAGACCTTGGAGCTGTCTGTTCTGGAGACACAAAAGAACCAACCACAAGTTAAGCAAATGCCCTCATGTCAACAACTCACCTTTAAAATGACAGCTGTATGAAACATGGACACAAAACAAAAGTCCGCAGCCACTGGAGTGTATCCAAGCCACAGCACGCTGAACAAGGTCATGCATGTCCTCTCAGCCTCACTGTGTGAGGAAGGCAGTCTGCCACTTTTACGGCCACGCGCTCCCAGAGATGACAAGGTGGTAGGAGAAGTTTTCACAGTAAACACACGAACTTCAGCCACCTTGCAGCAACAGATGCATGTTTCAAAGTGGTAAGCAGAACATGGGGTGATAGAGCGCATGCCGCCATGACCACTTAAAGAGGAAATGCCAGCCAGAAGCAAGCACCATGCTGAGAAACTACCTTGGTAGCGCCTAGAAAGTGCAAGATAGTATAACTGGGGTTGAGTATTAGGGGACTCCACTGCAAGGGAAAAACAAACACAATGTAGGCTCATTCAAGAAGGTGGCACAGGTAAATACAAGAGAAAAATCGTATATGCGTCTGTCAACCTTTGCTTCCACTGTGTGTGATTTCTATGCATCCGAACCCAGATACCCCTTGAAAGTAACAAATTATGTGATTTATATGTGGACATTTATTTAGGAGAAAGAAACCCTATAGAACACTTTCTTTTACATATTTCACATCCAGCTTAAGTTTTAAACTAATTCTGTATTGTTTGTCACTCTGGCATGATAAATGGTAGAGATATTCGTTAATTGGCATTCCTAGAAATTCCAGATTCTTTTTTTTTCTCACTTACATTTCAATGTATTTAGAGGAAAGATCTTAACAAGTAGCAGAAACAGAAACTCAAGACTAAACATAGAAAATCATGGGTAAACTTCCTAACTTTTAGAAATTAGGATCCTTGCCCCACCACTCCTATAGAATGATGTCAGGATAAACATATACCCCTGAATTCTGACTGAACAGGACTAGCAACAACTAACAAAACAGTATTAATATTCACCATTATTTCTGAGCACTTCCTGTGTGCCAGGCAGCTTTCTAAGTCTTAATATTTATTTACTCACTAAACAGGTACTATTTTTATCCACATTTCTAGATGAGGAAGATAAGTCAGCAGGAATGCATGGACCCTGGGAGGGGAAGTCCCAGGTTACATGGGCTTCCTACTAAAGAGCACTAGGCCTTTCTGGAAACCCATGCCATGCTCTGACAGCCCTTCCAGATCACATCTGGTGCTGAAAATGCATTCCAGTGGCCCAGTGAGCAGCAGAGAGCCTACTGATCTGTAATGCTCAAAGGAACGTTATAGGGAAGAGAGCACTAGGAGAGAACTCAAACACATTTTTGTGATCTCTTTCTTTTTAGTCCTGTGGGTAGCTTTAAATTCATTCATGAGTTTTAGGTTTGCAGTTAAACACAATGGCACGGACTGAATGTGTCCTTTTGAGAACTGGCTGGGCTCACAGACTGGTCGGGACAGGTAATTCACTGCAGCCAGCTGGGTCCTTCTAGGAATTAAAATAAAATTCATCATTGAACTCTATTTTCATTGCTTTACCAAACAAATGATTGCCAGAGAAAATAATAGTCTTCTCAATTCTCATTAGCCCAGAGACCCCCAAAGGTAGAAGGACTGAGTGCCTACCCTACACCTCTGCTCGCTTCTTGCTGAAAGACAGCTTGTCAAGATTTATATTCCTTTCACGAGTCAGAAAATACCTTTACTAAGGCCCATGTCATTGTTGTGCGTAGCTTTAATTCCTAAAATCTTTCTCACCTTTCCATAAATTTCATTGATTGTTATGTGGACAAATATGGATGCTTCTGTCAATCCTTCCAAATAGACATGTCGATAGCCTAATACAAGCAGAGAGAGTAGTTTCCTTTTAGTTAGAATTGCATTTGGCTTCCACACGGGTGCAACAAAATTAAGTATCTGACTTTTTATCACAGTTCTTTACATTTTACAGAACACACAGACACACACCCACTGTCATGAACACATTTCATAGATCATGAATTTCACATCTCCTATCTTAAGTCTTCTCTGAAAATAATCTGCTCTAGAGAGGAAAGTCACTCCCATACTTACCGGGCACTAGGCTGCTGAAGGTCACCGTTCTTTGCCCAACGAAGTCTCGTCCAATAGGATCGTGGTCCCACACAAGAAACCGAACCAAAGCTATTTCTGGCATGTGCACTGTAAATGTCAGGGTTTCTTCCCACACAGGGTTAAATCCTCAGAGAAATAGGAAAAGAAAAGCAAATGACGTGGCTAAAAATGAATTGACAGCAACATCTGCAAAGCAGACAGCGAAATTACTTGCAATGGTTATTAAACTCACCAAGATGACCGAGCCACTCCAGGCTGTCTCACTGAAATAAAGATTTGGAGTTTACCCCATTGCTAGAAAATAATTGCTAAGAAAATTGCCTGTAAATTATAATATTAGTTCAAATAATTTCGGATGCAAAATTGCACGGCAGCCTATGCTCTGTTAGACATCACCCAAAATGTTTCAGTGGGCTTGAAAATTACCGACAGTGGTGATCTTAGAATAACATTTAACAAAAGCAATAGTCTCTCCCCACCTGTAGAGTCATGCTTCTCGCTCGCCATGGACCCACCTACTCTAATAATCACCTGCAGCATTTTTCTATGTGGTTTTGCAATCCTCTAATTAAGAGGTATATATTGCTGACTTTTAAGAATATAACACTTTTAAAAATTACACAAGCAGGCCCTCCCTGGTGGCACAGCGGGTTAAAGCACAGCACTGAGAAGCTAAAGCCACTTCCGCATGAGTTCGATTCCCGCCTGCCCCGGAGGAGATCCACATGGCGTGGCAGACCTCTCCTGACCCGCCCGCTGCTCCCCTCAGCAGTGTACTTCGTGGATCTGCCTGTTCTGCTCCCCACTCTGTCTCTGGTGAAGCCTCTCACTGCCCCTGAGCCTCTGGCCTGTACCCCAGTTCTCTGTGTAAAAATAAATAAATCTTAAAAAAAGAAAGAAAAAAAATTACACAAGCAACACAAGCTCATTTTTAAGTAGAAAATATAAATATTTATAACTCATTTTATAGTTGAGGAAGCTAGAATTCAGAGAAAATAATATACCCAAATTCATGCAATTAGTCACCGAGCCAAATTGCTACCACACTATTGATTTCCAGTTGCTTCTCATGATGCAAAACCTTAACACATGAAAGATGATACATTTTCATAGCTACCAAAGTAAATAGAAGAGATATATAATTCAATTCAAATTCCAAAAATCACAAAATAATTTCTTGCTAAACTTCTCTAAGATAAAATGATTATACACACTGATGAAAATTCAAGAGTCTGTGAATTTGGTTTCCCTTTCCAAAAATGAAAATGTTGTATTAAATGTATGCACTCAGAAATCACTGGCCACTTAATCTTATTAAACACCTTAGCTAATGAAATAATTATGGACTGCAAAATCACTGAGATACGACCATCCCTCATGAGAAAAGGTCATTTCTTTGTTAACTAAGTGATAACCTCCCATTTACTTCTGTGATTTAAAAAAAAAAATCTATTGTGCAGTGGTGGGGACACATTATATTGGAGGGTATCTTCTTAAAGCATATTGCTTCTTCAGTAATAGATTTGTGTTATTCACCAAATTACTTTCCGAGCACTTAGAAAAAGTCCTCTGCAGGCCTCTCTGGTCTGTTCATATAAAGACTGTCCTGAGTGGGCTGCACTTGTCTGTCGAGTTTTTCATGATCCAGAAAAAATGAGAATCATCTTCAAGACATGAAAAACTCTTTGAATGAGCACCATGAGGGACTCATGTCATGAAAACATATAATAAAATTATAATGAAGTCATTTGTCTAAGTGGAGCTTTAACTCGGTTCCCTTAAAATAACATTCACTCGGCCCTCCCTGGTAGTGCAATGGGTTAGGATGCAGCACTGCAAGCTAGCTGCAGCTGCTTTAAAGTGCGAGTTCGATCCCCAGCCAGGGAGGTGACCCACAGGTGCAGCAGACCTCTCCTGTCTTGCCTGCTGCCTGTTCTGCACCCCACTCTGTCTCTGGTGAATCCTCTCACCGCTCAGGAACCTCTGACCTGTATCCCAGTTTTGTATACATAAATAACTTTAAAAAAAAGAGGATGAAAAAATAATAATATTTATTCTTTTCACTAGAAAAAAAAAATGTGTCTCCAAAGGAAAAGTCTTGGAAGCCTACATTACAACACCCATGAAAACATACTATTCCTGTGTCCAATGTTTATTTTGCTTTATGTATTGAAAACTCTTCACGTAAATTCAGATGGCAATTATAGACTCAAGGGATTTGTTTCTATTCTATTTTACAGTGTAAATATTATGTCTAGAGTGTCCTGATTGGAAAGTGAATTCAGATTGTTCTCTTACCATTGTCATCCACCACACGGGTTTGCTCTTTACAGCAATCTACTGGCAACCCGATAATTTCAACTTCAACGAAAGGATCAATGATCTGTACACACAGAGGGAGAAAATTATTATAAAGGATCCATTTCTACACATGTATTAACTAATTTGAGAATATTGGCCAAAATGCTCACCCTTTACCAACATCCCATTTCTGACTTACCTACTAAGAAAGAGAAGCTGTACCGGGTGCAACAGAGTCAAATATATGTGGCAAGAATAAAAGCTGAATTTTTTTGCCTGTATCTACGTAGCTAAGCAAACTTTACACTGAGCTTACAACTCCATTTCAGTTGTATACACCCAACAGAAATGACAGCTGTTGTCCACACACGAATGTTTAGTGCCACTGTACTCATAACAGTCAAGCACTAGAAATAAACTGAATGACTGTCACAAACGCAATCGAAAAGTGATGGCATAGCCATTAAATGAATATTACAATGGAAAGGAACAAGGCTCTACTTCATAGCCATAATGTTGAGCTATCCAGATATGAGTCCACACCATAAAACCATTTACATAAAGCTTGAGACTAAGCATCTCATATTTATATATATAGTTGTTGCAGAAGTCGCAAAAGATCATCTATGTGTATCATAACTTCAAAACACTAGTAATATTGACCCTCCTCTAGATGCTGATATTTCTGTATTAATAGTAACAGGTACACATTTGTAAGTCACTTTTGCTTTTAATAGTCTGATAAGTGAATTTCAATATAATTGTTTCACTAGGTAGCCCACGTTACTTTATTTTAGGCATTTGAAAACATTAGGCAGAAAGAGTCCATAGCTCAAAAACAGTCATAATCTCCTGATAGCAAATGTATAAGCCAAGAAATAAAGAGTTGGATTTTATTTTAATTACAAAGACAGGCATCCCTTAAACATTTAAAAGATCACACTAACTTCACAGACTGTGTATTAATTACAAAGGCAGATAATACCAATATAATGAAAACTATGTTAAAGAAACCCCATTGTCCAGGTACCATCACGCTGCACGCATAAATGCCCTGCAGTTCCTGAGGGCTCCTGGAGGGCCAGAACAGTTTCCGGGCAGGGTTTCTGCCAAGTGCATTTATTCTGACTCTATCACATAGAGAAGCACAAAGACAGGAAGCAAACATCACAAAATTTTATAGTTTTGTTGGCGAATCTGGTGTTCATTTTACTATTAACAGTTTTTCTGAGGTTTAAAAAAATTTAAATAGAAATTTTTAAATAAAAAATTTTTAAATAGAAATCAATCTTCCTTTTTGCAGTCATTAAAACAAGGAAACACTTCCTGCTATTGCCACTTGTCCTTGCTTCTCAGAGAACAGAATGGAGATAGAGAGACCAGTCAGTGGGGTGGTCACTGCAGCAGGACTGACCAGAAAGGCAGAGAGGGTAGTGGTTCAGCTTAGGCTGGAGGCAGAGATGTCAGAAACGGTTCTGCCTGCAGCTCAGGCTTCCAGAGGTACGAGATGGATCCATATGATGCGGATAAGGGAGTACACAGGTTTGAGGCGCAAACTTTGGAAATGGCCACTGCAGAGAAAGGGGTGGGGGTTGACACGGGGGCTGTCGTGAGCACAAGAGGTCAACTAAAATTTGAGACCAAGAGTTTCTGGTCGTACCAAACTGCAGCCCACCCATGGGTGCAGCCCACCCATGCATACTCAAGATCTAGAAATGAATGTCTAACAGGCGAAACAGCAAGGAGACTGGTAAGAAATGGCCACGCTAGAGAAAGAGGCCAGGAGCAAGGAGGGGCTTTCAGGCAGGGGAGTGGTTCACACACCTGTCTTTGGTATCACGGGAAAGATAGAATTAAAGCCCTGGCAAAGAGAGGAAGCTGTGGTCACGGGAGACATTTTAAAATCATACTACAGAGCAGGGAGCAAATGATAACAAATCAGCGAGTGGCCCCAGGGAGAAAGAGGCTGATACCCAGCAGCAATGAGGGTCCTAGGAAGATGAGGAAGGAATGTGAATGGAGGTTAAGACATACTCTTATACAAGGTTTTATGAAGAATAAAACTGTTCTTCACTTCTCAATTATATCATTGCTATGTCAGTCTTGCCCTGGGAATTGGATGAGGCACATTCACATCCTGAAAATTTTCCAGTTAGTTGGTTAATAGGATGAGCTGAGATCAATGCTCATTTACACACACACACACACACACACATGCACACGCACACACACAGAAGAGGTGGAGAGTCCTGGAGACATTTCAGATGAAATGTAAACACAATCACAACAAACCAATTGAGCTTACCTCGCCTCGATCTCCAAACATGGAATCTGGAGGTTTGGGGAGCTGTTGCCCACTGATCACTTTGAGGATTAACTGCTTTTTGGGATTGGCAGGAAGTGGATCACCAGAGAAAGGGTTGAAAGTGCCTAAGCAGAGTAAAGCCTGGGTTAAATTCTAAGGTTGGGTAGCCTGGGAAACACACACAGGTAGACTGCTTAAGCTTGTAGAATAAAGCAACAGCAAATGTTGAATTAACGCAGTGTTTCTTAGAACTAAGTAATTATCACATAACTATCAGCCTGGCTTCTGCCTGAAGGCACCACCAGCTGGCATCTCTAGCTGTAGATGTCCTTAGAATCTGTGTTCCCAGAGGCCAGAGGAAAGGGCCGATTTGAAGTGTCTGCAATGTGATTATCAACCCTGCTAGCAAAAAGAGGAGCATTTGATTTCAATGCCCATCATGTAGAGCAATCATGCTGCCTGCCTCACCTAACCCACCTCAGGTACCAAGTGAATCTACCAGGAGCACAAGTGAAGTCAATGGAGTAAGACAGACGCAAAGCCTGAAGACATGAAGACACATCTGTCAACACTGTTTTTACCTGACCTGTCAAAAATCCAATTTGGAAACTTTTTCAGAGGACTATAATGTGTGAAAGCAATAGGAAGTTTTTTTGTTTTCTTTTCAATCTAACACTATATCTCTTTGCTTTTTTGGTTATCACTCTTGTACCTGGGAGACACTAAAAGGACTTGCTAAAGTTGTTACAGGTGATATTTTAATTTTCCCAGCACACTTCAGATGCACACTACCTAGGAGACAATATCTCCTCTCCATATATTCTGAAAGGGAGGGGGGTAGCAGCTATTTTAAGTAATGCTCAGAAACCATCACCCTGTGGCACTGGCTGTCTGGACTCAAAGCATTGCTTTCCATGTCCCTCTTTATAATCACGGCCCAACAGAGAAAATTCTAAGCTCTGAGCTACCCACATATTAAACAGGAGTGACAAGAGTTCTAATTACTATTCCCACACCTTAACCAAGCTTTTGTCTTAAGTCACAATGCAATGCACCCAGAGAACCCGGTCAACGTGGTCCCCTGCACTCTGCCACCACTGCGTAATGAACACGCACCTTTGCACATGGGCTGGGGTTTCAGGACGTAGCCACAGTTGCCATTTGTCTTGAATTTGGCTCGGTTTAACTGCATCATTCGCCCTTCAGACTGGTAGTTGAGTGCCACTGTGCCAATGCAAAGTTGGAGAATTAGGGAAGGCAGCTAGTCAGGACCCCCAGAACCCTCCGAGACGGGGCTCACGTACCCAGCTGGCAGCCTGCGTTCCAGTAGGGCAGGGGGTTGAAGTTACTGGAATCGATGCGGTAAGCAGAAGGGTAAATCCTCGTGAGCTGCCTTTGGTTGTAAATCATGAACTGTTCCGATTTCTGCTGAACTACCTGATGTGCTCTGGTCTCACTGAATGACAACACGTTCCCCGTGGTTCCTAGTAGTTAAAAATAAAAAAGTGAGAAGACAACAAAGCACCACTCACACAAGACTTTGTCAGATGACAGAAATGGTAAGAGAGCAAAAGTTCAATCCAATCAGACTAGGGGCAGCTCCTGGCCAAGAAAGACCTGCAGCATTCTACTCTTGGGACTCTTTTAGCCACTTGAGGCCAAATCAGAGTGGTGTTTTGCTAGATAACTGCCCAATTCTGGGCCTCGTGTTCTGGGCCCCAGGAATTCAATAATCTCACTAATTCATGTTTATTTGACTAGAATGAAGAGGGCTGTTAGAGAAATTATTTTCTTTTTAAAAATTTACTTATTTATGCACACAAGAACTGGGGTATAGGCCAGAGGTTTGGGGCTGAGAGGATTCAGTAGAGACAGAGTAGGGAGCAGAACAGGCAGATGCACTGAAATACACTGCTGAGGGGAGCAGTGGACAGGACAAGAGAGGTCTGCTGCACCATATGAGTCACCTCCAGAGCCGGGGATTGAACTTGTGCTAAGGGCTGCAGATAGCTTCATAGTGCTGCAATTTAAACCACTGCATCACCAGGAAGAGCCCAAAGTTATTTTCTAAGTACATAATTCAAACAATATCTCTGCCAATGATCTAGAAACCTATAGAGAAATAAAACTATCTTCAGGATTTATCCCATGCCTACATGAATGGAAGGCATTCATCTCAAAGCACACATGGAACACATTATCCTGTAGCATCCAGGGCCCGAGAAAATGAAGGAAAAGGACCAACTGCCATATAAGAAAATCTGAGTTTTAAAGTTGACTTGATTAGAATTGTGGGGCTAGTCAAACAAATGCTGTTTAGGAGAAAAAAATAATAATAATGGAGAAAAGGGTTCTAAAAGAGATTTTTTTTTAAAGTTTTAGACGCAAGTAAGCATCCACCTAGCTAGGCTTATAAATAATGGGGAGAAATATAGAAAACTGGGAAAAAGCAAAAAATCCAGGAAGCCTCTACCAGAGTTTCCATTTGAACCTTCACCAGGAGGGGTCAACCCAGGGTCAAGGAAACTGCAAGTTTGGGGGTCATGATGGAGTAAATCTTCAAACATTTAATCTCCTATCCGTCTCTCCAAACCCCAAACTACAAGGCTCCACCCCTCCCACCATTTCACTTAACATTCATATATGATCCCTAAAACAGCCAACCATATGCCCTGCTGGAAAACTTTTGCTAAAGACTCAGACGTGCCCAGAGTCTCTCTGTAGCGCGCACTGTGACCACCTGGGCACAGCTGACCCATGGAGGACGGCTGTGGTCTCCAGACTGTGCATGCTTGTCAGCGCCTCCTGTCCCCAGCAGCATGTACCTTAGATATTAAACACTTGCTAAGTGAGTAGAGCTGGAATTAGACACAGTAGTAAATCTAAGTGGGACACAAAAAAATTGCGAATTACACTTTTTCATCTGATTGTGTCCTTCACATAGCTGCTTTCCTTAACATATTTTATTGACATAACTGATTGGCATAGTTTACATATCTGAAGCATATCAAATGTGGTCTTACTTGCAGATTTCAATGTGGAATGCTTTGAGATAGGAGAAAATATACACAGTATTTCTGATGAGCCATGAACAGATGGAAGAGGACTATATTATGTATTATGTCTTCTCTGTTCACATAATATAAACATATTGTCATTAAGATGCTGCTGCTATCTATATACACAAAACATGAAACCATCAACATGAAAGTCCACATGTCCAACAACATTGAATGCAGCATTATTTACAACAGCTAGGACATGTGAGCAGCTAAATGTCCACCAGCAGAGGACGTGATCTATTACAGAATAGAATGGAATATTACAGATCTGTAAAAAAGAAGAAACACAGCATTTTCAACAAAATGGAAGAAATTTGAGAGAATTATGTGCAGATAAGTTAGAAAGATAAAAACAAATATTGGACATTTACACAGCAGACAACTTGATAAAGTAAAACACCTTCTAAAACTAGTGGACATCAATAAACATCCTGAGGACTCTGAGGTTGAGGGAAGAGACAAAGGGCTAAAAGGATGACGGTGAGGGAAAATAAAGATATGAGTAAAGAAGTATAATAGAAAAGTATAGATGACCTAGCTAATTAGACACATTGAGTATTAATAGAATGGGTTTGCTTTGCATTAGTATGAGGCAAGCAGTATCTATTATTTATTTTACTTCTAAAAAGAAAAAAAAAACAAAAGACAAACATTTGAAGTTCAAAAGCTAAATAGTACTCAATATTATTTCCCATTAATCTAATATGATTATGATTTCCCAAGGTATTTACTAGAAGTGACATTCCTCTAAACCAAAAAGAGTTTTAATGCCATTAAACCCCTTTCTGCTCTTATTTTCAAGCGTGGGCAGTTACTATAAGAACGTGTTGCTCATTTGCAATAAGAATCCAACAATTTGTTATATTCTCACTTGCAAAATTAGTTCAATTTTTTTTTATAATTATTACCATTTAAAGAAGGAACCAGCCTCAAACGGAAGTAAATCTGCAAATATTAAGATGCAAGTATAGAATGAGGGGAAAGAGGGAAATCTGAGGGGAGAATTCTGGTAGTTTGTGAGGCCATACGACTCACTACAGTATTGGTTGGCCTTCACTATACTTGTTGAAAACCAAAAAGAGATTTTGGCTTATATTTTGTTTCTACTAAAATTAAAATTAGGTTGGAAAATCTCATGGCCACAGTTTATTTCTTTAACAATTCACCACTAAACAACAGAAATGAGAAAGGAAGACTGAGGGAGGGGAAGAAGCAACTAACAGAAAAGTCCAGGTTAAAACAATTATGATCAGAATTTCTCAACCAATTGAGAGGTGAAAAAATGAAGAATATGTCAATATTTCTGAATTTGTTGTTCATTAAAATTTCATTCTGTTCAATGATTTTCATCAAAGGTAAAGTTTCCTTTTATGGGTCATTACAAGGTGCTTTTTGACCCAGATAATTTCTTCTTTCTTCAGGGCATTTATACTTGGAGAGGCCATCTGTGGCCCAGCCATGTGGCCAGATCAGGTCTCCACAGCTAAGCACGGGGGAAGATGTCACGCCAATACATTTGTCTTTCTGTGAGAATCAGTCTTCTGCCCCATATAGGAAATGTCCCTGAACTCCACAGTGACAACAGCACAGTAACCAACAGAGCCCTTCACATGATGTACCACCAGTCAATTTCCCGACACTCGAGTTGCTTTCTCCACAATTCCAGAAACGTGTGCTAATGGTCTCATTAATAAGAGACTAACATTTGGCAAAGATGAGGCCATTGAAAAACACTCAGTGCTTACCGTCATCCACAACATCCTGGGCAGCCACTGAGTTCATGTAGATCACCAAGTCGGACAGCTCCCGGCACAGCTTCATGGTTTTCCTTCGGCGACCCAACCTGCAGGAGACACACCCAGACTCGTGACATTTTAAGGCTGGAAGAGACAGGTTTTTGGTTACTCACCCCTCCCTACCCACCTGCAATGAAGCCAGGACCAAAACCCAAGTGTGATGTTCCACCACAGTGATTCTCTTTTAGAGGTATAATTAATTTTTATTTTCTCCTTTACATTATTTCTATATTCAACTTTCTTAAACCACTCCTAAAATCCCTTCCACAACTTTACAAATTCTCTTACCACAGTTAAATTGCTCTACAGATGACTACATTCCTTTTACATCACACTTTCCTCCTCTAAGGGGACATGTATCTATCAAAATCTCCAGCTCTTACCAAGGAAGAACATATTAAGAATGAGAGTGATAATAGATTTATTCCCTGGTGAATATTTATTCAGTACTGATTAAAGATAAGACCAAAATCCTTATCCTAATCATACTTAAATATATCCAATAAATGGGCTAAGGGAAAAATAAGACAATTCATTTACTCATGAATATTGACAGGTCTAAAAAATTATGGCTAAGGATCTCCCTGGTGGTGCAGGAGTTAAAGACAGAGCTATCAAAATATCAAAGCCACTGTAGCATGAGTTCAAATCCTGGCTGACCAGGGAGCTGACCCAGAAAGTACAGCAGACCTCTCCTGACCCGCCCGCTGCTCCCCTCAGCAGTGTGCTTCGTCAGTCGGCCTGTTCTGCTCCCCACTCTGTCTATGTTGAATCCTCTCACCCTCCCACACACACCTCTGGCTTACACCCCAGTCCTGTGTGCATAAATAAATAAATTTTTAAAAATTAATAGTAAATACTGGTGGTAGTGGGGGCGGGGGGGTACAGGGAGGAGCAGAAAGCACTGCAGATCATGGTGAAGGACTTCAGTGCTTCAGTGGTGGGAGAGCTTCAGTGACCACGCTGGGGGAGAAATCCTATACTCTCAAAAGATTGATAAGGATGTAAAACAATAGTACTTCAGGGCCCTCCCTGGTGGCACAATGGGTTAAAGCACAGCATTGTTAAGGTATCAGCAGCCACTTAGGCACGAGTTTGATCCCCAGCCAGGGAGTTGACCCACATGGCCCAGCAGACCTCTCTTGACCCACCTGCTGCTCCCCTCAGCAGTGTATTTCACTCTATCTGCCTGTTCTACTCCCCATTCTGTCTCTGGTGAATCCTTTCACTGTCCCCACTCTCTGACCTGGACCCCAGTTCTATATGCACAAATTAAAAAAAAAAAAACCTTTAAAAAAAAAACAATAGTACTTCATAAATTAATGGGAAGATAGGAATGTGCCTTCTGTATCGTATGATTAGGAAACTCTATAACTCCTGGTGAGAATCTAATTTGGGGAAGGCTAATGATTATAAAGCAGGATGTGGTGAGGTCATTTTACTCATCCTAAATTCTACTGGCGATAATGAAGAAAACAGCAACTAACATTTTTGAGCACTTCGTTAATTGCAGTAGGATTTACCAGGCTGAGTAGATAAATCCCTTTAAGCCTTACAATGACCCTAAGAAGTTGACAGAAAAGAGGTGTCTAACTTGTTCCCAGTTAAAGGCAGTAAGCGGAAGAACAAAGTTCGAAGCGTGACTGATGTCTGATTCGTGGCTCTTAATATCATTAGCACGTATTGGCTCCTTCTGTCGCTGGGGAACAGCCTCTGTACCCTGGCCCCTGCCTCTCTGAAGATGCCTTTCCCTGCCAACTGCTACAGCTGGCACTCCGTAGGAGTCCCCTACCTGCATTATCATTTCACTCCCAGTTATCTGCGCACACCTGCTAACCTGAACACCGCCTCGTGGTCAGATTCTCCTGACAGGACCAACTAGAATTCGCACACTGGGAGGCGAGTGGCCCCAGACACCTGATGGAGCACCCAGGAGAGGCGTTCTTACCTGTAGAGCTGGCCGGCTTCCCTGCCAGGAGTCTGCTGCGCCTCCTCCTCATCATCAGTACTGTAAGATTTAGACCGTGACTTTGTGGTTTTCTGCAAGAAAAATCCCAGGAAAGGGAACAACATAGTCACTGCATCAAGTATCTACAACATTCAAAGAATGGACCGGACTTTAGAACACACACAAAAACTAACTTGGAGGAGAAAACTGAGCAAATAGTGTAGCTTACCACTCCACAAATAACAAGCATCTAGCCATAATTATATTAAAATATAAAAAAGGTAGGTTTCATGTTCTAAAACTGATCTCTAAGCCACTAAATGATGAAAGTCCTCATTAGTGAGCATTTAAGGTTTCTATAAAGGTTTGGTCAAAATTGTGATTATCTATTTAAATGATTATAAGGGATAAGATGTCCTCATATTGGATTCTCACGATTCCTATTGACTTATAAAAGGTAGATTTAATTTAAAAAGCAGCAAGTTTTTTTTTTTTTTTTAAGATTTATTTGTACATACAGAACTAGGGTACAGGCCAGAGGTGCAGGGGTGGTGAGAGGATTCACCAGAGAAAGAGTGGGGAGCAGAACAAGCAGATCGATAAAGTGTACCGCTGAGGGGAGCAGCGGGCAAGTCAGGAGAGGTCTGCCGCGCCCTGTGGGTCACCTCCAGAGTGGGGATTCAAACTCATGCTGAAGTGGCTTTAGCTTCTTAATGCTGTGGCCCTCCCTAGTGGCGCAGCGGGTTAAAGCACTGCACTAAGAAGCTAAAGCCAACTTCCACATGAGTTCGATTCCTGCGTGCCCGGGAGGAGATCCATATGGTGTGGCAGACGGCTCCTGAAATGCCCGCTGCTCCCCTCCTCAGTGTACTTCATAGATTTGCCTGTTCTGCTCCCTGCTCTGTACCTGGTGAATCCTCTCACCCTCTGCATCTCTGCCTGTACCCCAGTTCTGTATGAATAAACAAATAAATCTTAAAAAAAAAAAGCAGCAAGTTTTTAATGAATATCTACCAACCTTGCTTTCGATCAGTATGCTTTCAAATGACTAATTTAAAAATGTTCTTTTGACATTTTGCCCTTTGTTAATTTCTAAAAGCAGAATAAAAATTGTTTCCCACAGGATGAAGCTGAAAGGCTACCAGACAAAGCTGCTCTCTTCTGGAGGGATTAGCTGTTAGACAGAAAACCTTTTAGGAATGATGTGGTTTCATCCCTTCTATACTGGATATAATCCCAATATTTGGCAACTACATACTAACAGAAAACCCTACCATCAAAAATAAAAGCTTCCACAAACAAAGGTAAGATGTTCAAACAGCGGCCTTTGGACATTTGGGGAATGCGGCTTAGAAAGGAAAATGGACCCCCACCTCCACATGACCACAGGTCATGTCAGCCTCCACGGGTTCTCATACTTAAAAATAAAAAAAAGTCACACTTTAGTATAAATATATGGACACTACTGCACTGCCACTGTGGTGTCAATTTTATCTGGAAGCTTCTCTGGTATTATTTATGCCTCAGGCACTTCAGTGAACATGGAGTGGAGACCCTGGCATAGCCTCTTTAGGCTATATTCTGTTTTATAAAAGGCAGGATAGTAACACATTTTTAAAAATCATTATTAATGTCTTGATAATTAAAAGTGGTAAGATGAAAAGCATTCTGTAAGCGATATAACTTTCAACTTACAGTACTATTAATATTTTCAAAAATAATCTATAAATAGTGGGCATTCATCCTCTTAACTTGAGGCAGGGTAGTTAAAGCCCTCCTTTAAAGGTTTACTTTAGAAAATAATTCAAGAGTAATTTTAATCAAGAAAGAAATAAAGAACATTTTCACTTATGGTTAGTAATTTGAGGTATCACAATAATAAATCTGGCTTGCTAAAACGTATTTCTTATATTAAATGTAAAAAGTAGAAATAAGAAATGGATCACCAATGACAGATATTTGGAGAAATGACATGTTTTTATCATATACTTTTGACAACCGACTCATGGTTAAAGCACCACAGAGTCAATTTTTCGTCTTACTTTACTTTGATGTTTTGCATATTTGGTGCCTCAGTGTGGCATAACTGTCACATAAAGATGGCATAACTGTCCATTATGAGGATGAATTATGGCTTACTTAAGCAGTTTTTATGGATGAACATTGGGCTTCTTTTCAGTTTTTTACTATAATGGTTATTTTCCCCAACATTCTAATAAACTATCCTCTTGATGGGGAAAGACATTCCAGCTACAATACACCAATCTCGTGCAAAGTCAACCATCTAATAATTGATGTCTTATAAATTATGTTTTACCTTTACATTGATATAACACACATTTGGAAAAGTACAGCAATCTTAAGAGCACAGCATGACTTTGCAGAAAGTGAAACCACCGATATAAGAAAATGGAGTATTAACCTGCTCCCAAGACCTCTAATTTTCCTATTCAGTCATTACCTTCTCCCCAAAGGTAAGTACTGCTCTGAATTTTACCCCATAAATTGAGTTCATTTATAACAAGGTCCAAACCAACTATATATTCTCTTGAGACTTATGATTGCAGAGTTGTGCAGGTATAACTTTGTCATCCTCAATGTTGTTAAGTATTCCCTTATGTGAAGGTGCTGCAACCCCTAGCCATTCTAATGTTTTTGGCTTTTTTTAAAGACTTATTTATTTAAATATGCATATAAGAACTGGGGCTCAGGGTAGAGGTGCTGGGAGTGAGAGGGTTCACCAAAGACAAAGTAGGGAGCAGAACAGGTGGACTGACTGAAATGCACTGCTGACGGGAGCAGCTGGTGAGGTTTGCTGTGCCATGTGGGTCACTTCCCTGATCGGGGATCAAACTCTTGCTGCAGTGGCTATGGACAGCTCCACCGTGCTGCACTTTAACCCATTGCACCACCAAGGAGGACCCTATCTACTCTAATGTTGACAGACATTGAACTGTTCCCTGTGTGCACAATGACATATCAGGACATATCATGTCATGACATTGTCAAGCATACCAGTGAAACTCAGTCATAGTGCAGAGTGCATCCTAGTGGGTAGTGTGAACCAGTGTACCAAAGCAGCTGGGCAAATGTACATTCCTCTTAGAGAATCTAGAAGTTCAAGTTGTTCAGCATCGTCAGTAATACTATTCGTGCTGTCACTTTCATACTTGCCTCTGTGGTTGGTACATCTGAAAGTTTGCCTTCACTTCACAGTTTCCAGAGATCTGATATGGTCAGCAGCTTTTTCATATTAGCCAATTGCCATTGGGATATTTTCTTTTGTAAATTGCCATTTAAGTCTTTTGTCTATGTTTTCTTAAATTTAGACAGTCTCTGTCTAAATATGTAGAAAGCTTCATATGTTCAGGATATAAGTCCTTTGTTGTATATGTGTACTGAAATATTCTTCCCTCCACCAAGCAACCCAATTATGCTGTTGGTGGGAATGTAGCTGCTGCAACCATTATGGAAAGCAATACAACTTAGCTCAATCAAAAAGAGAGGAAATATTAGAAATCCCACCCGTAGGCAGACAGATATCTAAAAATACAAAACCATCAACACAGAAACCCATGGTTTCCACAAGGTTCACAGAGCATTATTTACAATAGCTAGGAAAAGGAAACAGCCTCAATGTCCATCAGCAGACGACTGGGTCAAGATGTGGTCTACCTGCCCCAGGGAGTATTACACAGCCATAAAAAAGGATGAAGTGTAGCTTTTTCAACAAAGTGGAGGCAATTTGAGAGGATTATGTACAGCAAAGTAAGTCCAAATGATAAAAACAAATTCTGGACGTTTATAGAGTAGACAACTTGGTCACATCAAACAGTTTCAAAAATCGGTCGATATCAATAGACATCTTGAGGACTTTGACATTAGGAGGGATGGGAAAGGGAAAGACAAAAAGGGATATAATCAATACAAGAGATGATTAAAAATATATAACAAATTATTACATGGTACCAAATTCAAGGGGCACACTTCCCTCATCTCATTTCATTATTTTATTGACCATCTCTGCCAGGCAATTTATTTGGTTACTAGTATGTGATGGTTCCCAAAATCATCTGTAATTTTATCCTAATTAAACTCACAGCTTAGAAACAAGGAAATATATTAATTAAATTATCACAATATTTAAATTCATCACAGGAAAGTTACAGAATACATTGTGAGTATAAAATAAGAATTGGTAAAAGTCAAAGAGCTAATCTGAAAGAGAATTAGGATCACAACAAAAAAGTGTTCCAGGCAGAGGAAATAGCTGCTAATATGACCAGGACATTGGGGGGAAAATAAAATAAAAAAGTAATTCAAGAACTTCCATTGGGAAGTGATTCAATTCAAAGAGGTACCTAAGGGTTGTCACTTACCATTGAAAAGCAATTAATTAGCACATTAAAAACAAGAAAAACTCCCACCCAGATTGATGAAACACAACTGATGACAATAAAAACTTTCTAAAGGCAAAAAAAATCATAATATTTCTGATATTTTTGATGAACAAATGTTCTTAACTTTTTAAATAATAAATTTATCAACTATTTCCTTTGCTGTGATCCTGCTAAACTAGCATTGGTTATTCTAAGATCGTGATGATATATTCTTCTGTTTCCTCCCGGAATCAATCCTTCAGTAAATTATGCACATTTATCATTCTTAATTCATACCTTATGTTTTCCAAAATTGGTCATGAGGGATCGTCCATGTGATTTCTTTACACTTTCCTTCACATCCGGATGCTGAGTAAATAAAGAATAATCATTCTTCTTTTGGATTTTCCTTAGTTCTGGAGAAACACCCGGGGGACACTGTCCCCATCTGCCGCTAGGTGGGGAACCAAGCGGTCCCACTCACTTGCTCCTATTCCACTCTACCATTGCCCCAAAGGTAGCTGAGGCCACCTTGAGAGGTGGGGGGGGCGGAGAACACACTGGCATTGAGAGGCCTGGTACCTGCCAGGAGACACAGCTGTCAACAGTTCCCCAAAGCTGGGGTCAGGTACCTGTCGGTGAGCCTGGCTGGGCAGGGCCCTTCATGCCTGATCACAGTGCAGGGCGTATGAATTCAAAAGGCCTGCGTGGGGATAGGCCACTTTCAGTGAAAAGCAGGCTTCATTTAAAAATGGAAGGAATATTGCAGGCAGAAGGAACAGAAGACAGCTGAGGCATCTGTAGTAACCATGGAAGTCGATGTGTCAGCGAGTATGGGGGAATTTGAGGGTAGAGGTGCAGGGAGACTGCACTGATGCAAGTTCCCTGGAAGTGTGCTCAGAGTGTAATTTATTCCATGGGTAATGGGAAGCCACTGAAGAATTTTCCACAATGGAATGAAGTGGCCTGCTTTGCATTTTTAAAGCATCTTGCTGACCTCAGAGTGGAGATTAGATGGAAGGAGGGCAGGAGAAATCAAGGTAAAACGGACACTGGCCTAGATTAGGGCACAGCATGGAGGGGGAAAGTGGACACACAGGAGCCGTGGGTAGGAAGTATGGTCGCCCCACAAGGAGGCTGACTGAATGTTGGGGGAGGGGACTCACGGTGGCTCTTTCCTTATCTGAGCCACATAGGGAAGATGGGGGTGTGGGGGTTTGAGTACTGCATTTTTATTCTGGGGGTGGGGGGCCCAGTCAAGCAGTATTAAGTCATTTCTACCCCAGCCATCCACTTTTAACTATTTCTCACATCATTTTGCTATAGCTCTTTCTTTCTTTCCCCATCAACACGGGAATAGAAATGGAAGAAGCTTGGAGAGGCATTTCGCAGTTGAAAAATGATCAGACACAAAGTATTAGGTGCTTTCCTTCTACCAAAGGACAAGCACAAGAGGGAGTTGAGTACCTGTTTCAGGTGTGCATTTAAGCCCTCATGTGTGGCCTTCAATAGTGCCCTCACTGTGAAACTATCAGCATCTTCTTTGTCTCGAATCTGAGATTCTTTCAACAGGGACTCCAGTTTTTTCCTTATGAAAGATTCCACCTGATGCTCAGTGGTCCCATTATTCTGCAAGGAATTAAACAATGGAAATTATTTCCCAGAGAAACACAATCACTGGAACACATCCCCTAAGCCAACATCCCTTCTGTAATTTGATTATCTCTCAGTTACTTGTAAGAAGTATACTGTTCTGCATCCCCCAAGCATACACCCCAACCCCATAATAATGACAATGATCACTATGACCGAGTTCAACCCTCAAGAACCTTGTAAAGTCTGTATTTCTGTTTCAGGGATGTAGAACCTAGAGCTACTGAAATTAAGTAAGCTGCTCAAGTTTTAAAAAAAAAAAAAAAGTAACTGAAACATTCTCCCTGCTGTGCCACTATCCATCTTGGACAGAAGGAAGGTCAGAGAGATTGTGAGCGGAGTTTTCGATAACTACAAAGGTAAATCTGTACAAAAAATAAACTCTTTTATAAAAAGCGCTTCCTTTACTCAGGGGAAAAGAGAGCTATGGGACTCTCTCTCTGGGCTGGGGCTCATTGTGAGAGAAAATTGCTTTCTTGTCTCCAATCCCATCATACAATGAGAGGACACACACGCTAGCCCTGTGCCATGAGTTACCAGTACAGTTACTTTAAGATCACAACTCATATCAAATGTTTGGGCTAACGAAGCTAAGCCCTCATGAGATAATGACTTATGCAATTTTGAGATGATGGAGACAGATTTCCTTGCCTTCCGCCTTGCTCTGCTGGAATCTAAAAGGCCGAGCTCCCCATGCCGCTCAGCTCCTCCACCTCATTTGCATCTCCCTGGTTGGACCCTTTTCCACCACCTCCCTAAGCCCCCCACTCACAGATAGCAAGCAGGGTATCCGCGACAATAACATGCACCTCACCCAGTGTCCATATACCCCACCCAAAGGCTAAGGCCCACTTTCTACTTGCAAGTTTGTTGCTGAGAGTTCTTTCTGTATAAACGCTATCGAACAGGCAGGTTTTCCAGTAATGCATTCATTCTCACCTTATTTTGTAAGAACACAGAAATAGAAATGTCCTGAGGGAAATTCGAAGGTGGGAAAAGAGGCTACTACAAGCTAACATGTTGAAGTTCCCCTGTGTTAACAACCTATACAGAATTATCTTTATGACTGAGGGACTTGTTTCACCAGAGCCCTCAGTCCTGTAGCAGATACAAAGGTAGAAAAAGACCCAGTGCATGGCATCAGGATGAGCAAAATGCCCCGTTATGCTAACAAAGTTGTGTGTACACAGATGCCCACTGGTGACCAGTGGCACAGGATTGTGGGGAGGAATGTAGCCTTCCTGCCGTACCAGGGAAATGACACAGTCTTCATGAGAACTAAAGGCTTCATCAGAGATGAGAAGGGCTCTCCTGTCACCACAATCTTGGTCACAGACAGTGAGGAGATAAGCTCACTGTGGCTGCTAAACCCAGACACTCCCCTGGTCAGCAAAGTAAGGCTGAAAATCCAGCACAGGGCCAACGAGTGCTACTGAAACGCTTATTACTGAGGCCCTAATTATTGACAACACCCCCTCTCAACTTGGGAGGGAAAAATATTTCCGCCTGTTAATCTTTTCCTCCTCTGTGATTTACACCACAAGAAAATTAGCCACTGCGGAGAACAAATAAATGGAGGTCGAGGTTACATTAATATATTATCATTCAGTCCTGGAACCCAATAGCACTATGAAAGGAAGCCGAGACAGACACTTGACCGCGAGACCTCCAGCTACTGGGCAGCAGTGCAGGGCCCGCAGCTGAGGAAGGCCATTTGTTTCCTGAGCCAGTGGGAGAAGACGCTGGGGGGGGGGGGAGAGGGAGAGCACGGCGGGGGGGCTGGAGGGGTACAGCCTTTCCAAGGCTCAGGACATTTCCACCCAAGAATAATCAGGGTTCCCAATTCTTTTTCTTAGAGGTAAATATGATCTAGGTCCTTTTATGGCACAGAAAAATTAATATGCACGCACGTTCTTGATTTGTCTCCAGCGTGCAGTGAAAGGCTGACTGCAAAGCAGGAGGCCAGAACAGGAGGGGCATGGCTCAAAGGGAAGGAAGCAGCAGGAGAGGAGAAGCCTGGTTGGAGGGGCTATCCCTTAACACGGGAGCCTCTCAAACAGTCGACATGCTCCGCTACACACTGAAATCCCTGGAGAGTGTTGACTCTCACGCCCTGGGACCACTCCAGGGGGTGGGTTGGGATGGGGACGTTTGAGGGCCTTTCTGCCATGCCAATGCAGAGGGGACGTTGAACACCTTAGCTTAAAAAAATAAGCCTGAAGTATCATCACCTCAAAGTGTTTCTTTTTCCCAAAGGGATATCGTCTGGCAACAGGAAGATAACATGTAAGTTGTCCTTGGTGAGTGGTGTGGAACTTTCCATGCTTATTACCTGAAGGTTTTGGCTGATAAGCAGCTGCTTCTCAGTCAAGTCCTGCACTCACCACTGTCCTCTTCTGTCTCCTGCCTGCTCCTCCAGCCCCGTTAATGCACCTTCCAGTACAGGACTTAGATCCGTGAGAGTCGTGTGGCTAAGGGGGTGCTTCCATAGGTTTTCAGTCACTTTCCTCTCCCTGTGCCATGTTGCCAGAACACGACAGCATGGCTGGCATGTGAGTTCACTGTCTGAGGGGACACTCAGTAGCAAGACTTCACACCTGGTCAGGTAAATCAACCCTTCTATGATCACGGACAAGTCTTAAACCAACAAGATTCATAATACTTCTTGATATGATTCACATATCATAAAATGATTAACTTAGGGGAAAAAAAAGATGAGTCTATACTAAAAGTAGCTGGAAGGGAGGAAAATGTTTAAAATATTTAGTGTGAGACACACAGATTGAATGACAGTCTTAGGGAATCAGATTAACAACGTCGTCACATGCTATTCTATTAAGACTGGTTAAAAATTGTTTATGGAATGAACTTTTTCTAAGAGATAAAGAGCTGATATTTGTGTATAAGAGGCTGATTAAACACAGATTAAGAGAGCACTGAAAAAAAAATGTGATAACTGAACACAGCAGGAAAAATATCTGTGAAGTTGAAAATGGGGGTGGCAAGTCTGTAAGAGCCAGACATTAAGATGGTCCCATAAAGAGGAATAATGGCGAGGTGACCCTAGAGTCCAATCTGTTAGATTGCCCTACTGCAACCGAAAGGAAACTATCCTGTGACTGTAAACTATGACTCTTGATTGACTGAACACACCAGTTTTACCTTCTTCTCTATCCATCATGAGTCAGATTTTCTCTATGACCAAAGTCACAAACTAATAGGAGGCCGTAGCTAAAAGGATTTAACTAATTCAATACAAGCAAGCACTTATTACATGAGCAAAAAATATTTGGAGTAATTAGAATCCCTTAGAAGTAACAGCAGATACTAGCAGTAAGAGGGACTGCTGAGAGAGTCCAGCCCCTGGTCTGCTTTAAATTCTACGAAGGCAAAGATCTGTGCTGCTTGGACTACTGACCTCAGCCTCAACACCTACAGCACGGTGGTCACATCCCACAGAAGGTGCTCAGTAATAGTTTGTTGAATGTGCAAGTGGTCTTCCTTAAGCCTCATGAGAGTTACTATTCCTGTGTCCATGAATGCGAAACAAAAGTCATTATTAATGGCAGTAAACTTGCAAATTTAAACACATTTAGTTAACTTAAAGCTGAGATTAAGAATGCCCTCCAAGGTAATTATTGGGTTGATGTAAACTATGTACTTGTGCAGAAAAATGACCAAGTATTTGGTTGAGATCAGACAATTTACCTTCAACATTGAGATAAGGCATTTGAACCCTCTGTTGACAAGTATAAATTGACTGATCATAGGATAACACATTGGATTCCTAAAGACAGTATTTTCTTTTCTCAGGAGAACTAAAACAGAGAAAAGAGGCTTGAGAAAGTGGAGTAAGACTCTTACATATGTCCATTAGAAGTCTGGTTCCTTTTTACCCTCTCCTATGTCCAACAAAGAGAGCACTGTGGCACAGGGGTGATATGTGATGGGAAACCCGTGGGGATTACAATTGAGATGAAAAAAAAATGTGCAAAATGATGTAAAAATAAACTTTTTAATAAAAAAAAAAAAGAGAACACTGTGCAACTGTTCTATTCAAGTACTCTCTATTTCACCTAAGCCAGAATTCGAGAATCCAAGTGAAAGATCATTTCGATCTTTACAGAATCGTGTTCTGGCCTATCAGCCTGGGTGAGTTCCTATTAATCAATTCAGACACTTTGAAGATAAGAGGAACTCAGTCGGATGTTTTCACAGGTAAAGTGACTATGAAACTATAGTTAACAATTCTTATAACTACAGCTATTTCACAGTGAAAGTTAGAAGGTTTATTGACATTTGATGACAAATTATATAGGTGGATAGATTTAGAAAACTCTGGGTTTTTCTCAGAACAATAAATCAATCCATGGTGATAGTTAAATTTCCACCACTCCTTTTCACTAAAATCAGTGCCTAAAACACATAACTCCATCAAATTAATTTCTCTGATCCTTTTTTTCAAATGATAGACTACTCTGAGTTGACAACCAAAAGATTTGGAAAGCAAGATGCAAAGAAAATAAAAACCAGAGACAAAAATCTAGTTTATAAAATAAGGTTAAAATTACAGAGCTAGCTTAAAAAAAAAATTACAGAGCTAAATTATCCATAATCTCACATAATTATAAAAATATCAAGTATTGGCCCTCCCTGATGGCACAGCGGGTTAAAGCACAGCACTAAGAAGCTAAAGCCACTTCCGCATGAGTTCGATTCCCGCCTGCCCCGGAGGTGACCACATGGCAAGGCAGACCTCTCCTGACCCGCCCGCTGCTCCCCTCAGCAGTGTACTTCGTGGATCTGCCTGTTCTGCTCCCCACTCTGTCTCTGGTGAATCCTCTCACCGCCACTGCACCTCTAGCCTGTACCCCAGTTCTGTATGAATAAATAAGTAAATCTTTAAAAAAAAGAAAATATCAAGTATCTGTAAAACCAAAAAGGAAACCACTTAAAATATTAAGTTTTCGCTTATAGGAATCTAATGAGATTAATTTCTGTAAACCATATTTGTCAGTGGCATTTAATTAAGCTCCTATAAACTATTAAAATGCAAAAGATTAATACAGAATTAATTCACTTCAAGCTCAATCTTATCCAACTCATTCCTTTTCAGCTCACTGAAGCCAAAGGCAGTTGTGTCTACTAAGATTTCAGTTGTTGTTAAGCTCTTGCTCCTTTGAAAATTATGCTGGCTCCCTGTGGTATATTCAGGAGCCATCACTTACCTATTATCAAGAAGAAAGAGGACTGTTCTTAACAATCAGATAATTCAAGTCAATGATGTAAATTAGAAGATTTTATACAAAATGTATTTGAGGGCACTGTAACAGACCTAATAATGCCGAGAGAAATACCACTTTTCTGTAGAAATGAAACTTCAAACTCTGCAACAGACTGACATGAGCAGAGCCACTCTGGTTGTGAGGTGCTTCTTGCCATCATGTGAGCTGCAGAAGAGAGGCTGGGCAAAAAATCCTACCGCCACCTCCCTCACCGCCACCCAGGAGGGTGTCTCTTGAACTAGCATTCCCCTGGGATAACCTTGCTACACTGTGCTTTTCTACAGAGCTCCTTGACTTGCCACAAAGGGTTGAAGCATCAACCAGATAAACAATACCATTTTAACTAGGATATGACAGATTAATGATTTACCCAAAAGTCCCACATCTGGAAGAGCCCTGGTTGGGGGCAATTTCCCAGGGCAAGGATGGGTACAGCCTGGGCAGGCGGCAGTATCAGGGGCTTCTGACACCATTGAAGGAGATGATGCCAAAGCCAGCTTACTCTACCAAAGACATGACATTTCCAACTGCACTTTGAGTCTTGACTAAGCTGTATTTGAGAGGACGTTATCCCTGAGAAGAGGGTCAGATGGGTTTATCACTAACATTCCTTCCAACCCTAAGAAACAAGAATCTTGACCCATTCTTTCAACAAATATTCATGTGCCTGTGTGCCAGCGAACAAGTAATTCTCAATAAATACCACTTTTTATCGACTGTCACCATATTCATAAAAATTCCAACACAACAGCAATTTTTCCTGCAGCACATGGACGATAAGACTCAGGCTTTGGAACTTACATAATGGAGTTTGAACTTGCACTCATCTTCAATTTCATCTGCACTGTCTTCATCAGAAACTTCCCCTTCCTCTGCATCATCCCCAAGGTGATATGGCAACTTTTTGCCCTGAAATGAAACAAGACACCTGCTTTTAAAATGAGTATAAATTCACAGCCAGAGGAGGAAGCAATGCAGAGTACACTGACAGATAAATGGATTAACAAAAGGTAGTCCAGGTGTACAATGGAATACTACACAGCCTTAAAAGGGAAGGGCCTTCTGACACATGCTATAACATGATGAACCTTGAGGACATCCGGGTAAGTGAAAAAAAAATCATCGCACAAATACTATGTAATTCCAATGATCTGAGGAACCCTGGAGACAAGTGCATATAGACAGAAAGTAGGATGGTAGTTACCAGGAGCTGGGCAGAGAGGACTACAGAGAGTTGGTGTAGACCTTTGATTTCACAACATGCGGAGTTCTGGAGGGGGGTTATTTACAATGTCAAGGTACTTACGTACCTTGAGCTGCAAGTGTAAAGCGAGTAAGATCGTAGGCAAATTTTATCTTATGTGTATTTTACCACAAATATAAACAGTGGCAATTGAAAACAGAATGTGATACCTCTTGGCCTATCATGACCTCAAACTAATTAGGAGACATCTAATTTGGACTGGAGCAAAAGTAGGGGGAAGAGGCTATCACAAGGCAGGTTTATTACTTTCAAATGAATATAGTGAATTAGGGACAATACATTTACAAATAAACAATCAGATCAGGCATCTTTTAAAAGCTAAATGACTCTTCAGGGCAAGCACGGCCTACCCCCTGCCCTCGGGGCAGGTGGTTGAGCCCTTTCTTCCACTCCTTGTGCCAGGCCAAGAGACCCCTGCCCAGATGGAACATGCCCTCACATGACACATTTTAGAAATCAGGAGCTTTATGACATCAGGAAACAATAAAATATAACAAGAAACCCAAGTTATAGAATTACATCCACAAAATGACCCTAATGATTTGGAAAAACACAGGCACCAAGCATGGCCAAAGATTCAGAGAATCTCTTGGTAAACATCGCTGTGGCTAATACTTATTTTCTCCTTTTCCCAATTTATATTCAGGAAAAGTAAAAGTGAATAAAAAGCAGCAGCAGAGAGTGAATCCAGGGTCTGATAAGGTTCCCAGGGCAGCGAACCATCTGTATCAGTACAGCTTCTTATTTGCAAGCAGAAATATTAATAGGAAGCTGAATTGCTCCCAGAATCTTCTAAAGGGAGTGAGGGAGGGTGGAAACCTCTAAAATAGCCCTAACGGTTCCAACCTCTCATTGCTCGTGCCCTTCTACAATCCTTGCCCTTGAATGTGGCCCCAGGGTCCCACTTCTGACAAGGAGATATGGCAGGAATGATGGATGGCACTTCTGGACGGGACCATCCAGCTCGCCGGCCTTCATGCCTCTCCTCTCTAGAGCACCTTGATTGCAACCTCTTGAGAGGGACCTTGACAGAAAAAAGGACCTGCCAGGGCAAAGAAACTGTAGAAAAATGTGCATTGTCGTGAGATGCTAGGTTTGGAGGTACATTGGCATGCAGTTACAGCTAACATGGCCACCAACCAACGTGATGGGGAGGAATTAACTTCAGAAGACACTGTGAACAACACAAATAAGCTCAGAACTTTTGATTCTATTATTCACAGAGTGGATGCCAGGAACTAACTCCAGAGACGGTCCTGCACCCCAAATGCAAATGCCACCACCTCCGCCACCCCTCACGAGGGTGGCGTTGGCTTGGGTTCATCTCCCCTACTTCTACTTTGATGTCTGAGTCACATTCAGTCAAAATGGTGGCAGCTGGACCGTGTGCCCACACCCTGGCTCAAAGAGAGGCAAGTGTCTGGCATTTTTAGTTCCAGTGAAGGAACTCAACAAAACATAGGGGAGGGGAAGAATTCCTTCAACATAGAAGGACACTCATATGCCTGACAACCAAAAATAGAGGTACATTTCTAAATACCCCAAATGGACCAGTTTTCTCTGAAGTTGAGCTCCGGTGTCATGCAATACTCCTACTCTCCATGCTATTACTGGCCCTTCTTCAGCTTTCCGAATCTTCCCTTCAACCCACTTCCTCCCTCCATAGCACTGCAGAACAGGAAATATTTTTTGAAAAATCCCCTTCCCAGGGTTCCTGTACCTTCCTAATACACAAAGCTCTTGACCTCAGGTCCTAAACACAGGGGTGGTATCAAAGCTGATTCAATCATGAATTAGATGAAAATATAAATTATATCAAGAATACAAATTCTTGGGGTTTGGAGGTTTAAAGATTGTCTTAAGCTTACAAAGTGCTGCTTATAGGATTAAAAAGGTGAGAATGAACTTGCATCTGTACCAATATTATATTATTCCTTATAGGTATCTGCTGTCTGCAAAGTGACAACTATACTCTTCTTTTTCAGGAAGAATACACACACACAGACACACACACACATTCCATATATATTATATAATATGACCTATAAATACATATATGTGTATAGATGAAATATATATTTATGAGTCGATTTAAAGAGGCAGAACTTTTCACTTCTATCTATGCCATCGCTTAAAACAAGGTAATTCTGAGCTGAGGCATTCATGTCCATGCATTATTTTAAGGGTCCAGAGTAGATGAAAATGAAGACCCACCCAACAGTTGGAAAGTGTATAGGATGCAGCTATAGTAGTAAACACCTCACCCATCTCCAAAATAGCTAAACAGCCGTTAAAATGCTGCCTTTGGGCAGAAACTGCTCTGACGCTAATGGAACATAGGAAAATTGGTTCTCTTGTTTTTGTCTCAAATGGGAATGCACCGGTGTTAAATCTAGGAAACCTCAAAGTCTAAAGAATGCTGCTACTTGCAAGTGGTCCTCAGAAGCCTTAGCTGTCCACAGTACCCCAGCCTGTTTCTGATCGGCCCCTAGCGTCCGGCTACACTTCGTCCACACACAGCCATGAGCCCAGAAACATTCTGCACAATGACCTAAAGTCTAGGGATGCAGAAGGCCAAAATCTGTATCTGAAGTTCTACTGTCCAAAAGGGAGGATTTTCAATCAAGGCATTTATTCTGTACTTAACCTCCTGCCTGTTAGCTACAGACCATTTAAGAAACAAGAAAATATTTACACAGTTGTCACTGTGACATTTAGCTTTCTAACCCACCACAAGAGTTTGCTTTAGCAAAAACTTAAAATTCACCTCTTGCATTATTTGAAGCTTTTATTCAGGAGGCTTCCACACATACAAATGCCTGACAATGCCTCTTTGATGCATGCAGTCTACAGTTCTCGTCTGACAGAAAAACAGGCTGAGACTAATTCCAAAGATGGAGGTTTCGCACCGTCCGCACTTGTTACCCTCCCTTCAAGCCTCTAAGAAAGTCTTGCTAGGAAATGACACTGTTTCACTGACATTCCTATGTCTCCTATGTGATAACTGGGTATTTGCACACACCCCTGTTAAGATAAAATAGAATCCAGCTTGAATGAGAATACCCTTCTGCTCTTCCTAGGGTTTCTTTTCTCAGAACAATCCAATGATCTAAGCAGATTTTAGTCCAAATACACAAAATTAACTGGAATTAAGCAAGATCACAAAGTCAGTTACCTGAAAACTCAGGGAACTATCTTTCTGGCTAGTCCTTGAATTAATAAGTGTTCACAGCAGATAGTAAGTTTCCTCCCTCAGAAAATCTGTTATGAAATACCACTCTGTTCCCCTCCCCCTGCTTCACAGGCAGACAAGTCCTGTGGGGCATTATGTCTGAGCCTCTGCTCCTCTTTGAAGCCAGCTCTTCGCACTTACATAACCAAAGCTGATCAACCATGAAGATCTTTTTTTTTTTTGACAGACAGACAATTATTGGAGCTTGAAATGGGAGAGAAGAATCTGAAAGAAATACTTTCAGATATGGACAACAGGAAACTTCTCTTGAACCCCAGGCTCCTACGCTCACATTTTTCCCCATTGTGAACTATCAGACTAAATATTAAATACTTAGCTTACTGTATCTCATAACAAGTCACAGAATACATGCTCAATCAAAAACAGACCTTTCCTGAAGGTGTGACTGTAAGTAAACTGGGAAAAGGTACATAATTGAACCTGATAACCCTCAGGCACTGAATAATAACTCTCTTTCTAATTTTTGTGGGGGGTGGGGAAGAGCTCAGAAGGTCACTAATGCTTTTTATTGTCACTAATGCTTTTTATTGCGTTCCTTGAGGTAATTACCTTCACTAGGATTTTGCCTTTCAAACTCTGAGGGCTAGGGAGCTGTTTGGTCTCTCCTGTGTCTACAGCTGACAGATCCAGCTTATCTTGGAATATTCCTTTCAAGTACTGTGCAATCTTCCGCTGCTGCTGGACGCTGCAGTGATTCTCAATGGACAGGATAACCGGGAACCTGGGGAAACAGAAATACACTCTGAAGGTGTCAAGCACAATCAACTCACACAGGTTTTTAAGAATCATTCCATTCTTTATTTATTATGTCCTTACTGTCCTAGTGACAGAGGTGTGGCAATTAAAATGCTTCTAATATAAGACAGAAGATAGAAAAGATTTTTTAAAAAATTCCTCTAACCGAGAATATTTTACCAGGTGTGATGGTTGAACAAAATACTAATCCATATGGGATGCCTTAGTGTAAAATTTTACATCACACACACACAGAAAGAGTACATAGGTTATGTCTCTTCAAAAAAAAAAAAAAAAAGATAATTTTAAGAGCAGCAAGAAACTTCAAGAAAGTGCATATGTAAGTTTGTCTTATTTATCCAAAATCCTGGAGACAACTAAGAAGCCAATGAATATTATTAAGCACAGATATTAAATACAGATCAATGACTATTACTTAAATGCAGATAATACATGATTAGCCACAGTTTGAAAAGTACTATTGGGACTAACATAAAGGAACTTTATTTCCTTTATGACTTAGTTTCCTAAATCAGACACAAATCATTTATGTAAAATTTTATACTTGTCTTGACTTTCAGAAAGGAGGAAAAAAAGAACCTCAAGCATTCACTCTGCCTCACTCATGTTCCTGCACAGAGAGTGAGACCCAAGTCAAGTGATTTCCCAAGACAGTCAAGGAGATAGGGGCCCAGGCAGAAAGGGAACCAGGACTGGTGATGTGATCATTCTTCTCTGACTTGGTTATTTTCCCCTCTTTGAGTTTCTTCTAATCTCCCATCACCTATCTTCCAAAGTAATGGGATATGCAAACCATTATATAATTGCTTTAATCTGTTCATATAAGGGAAAATTGTTATTTCTGAGCTCACATGACAAGCACAAACCTACAAAATGAGCTACGACCTCCTGAAATTGCATTCTGCCCTCTTTTATAAAATCTGATTCCGGGGTCAGACAAGAACTAAACCAAGGAAACTGAAGTAGGTCTGTTTATCTGACTATAATCCATTTGCTCTTCTGTATTCACATGTTTTTTACCCCAGGGTGTTAGAGAGGAAAAACAACAACAAACTAACAGTCTTGAGTTGTCTACATCATCACATCAGGGAATGCTGATGATAAATTTTTAAATTATCCATCTGTTTGTAAAAAGTGTTTGTCTAAATATTAGTTATAACTCAATAAGAATGCTTGTCTGTGTCAAATAGTGCTTGGTGTAAAGCAACGCTTCTCAGTAGGAGAGGGGATGATAATGACCTCCCCCAAAGGGACTCTAGTCAGTATCTGAAGACCTCCTTGTTGGTCGCAGTCTGAAGGGTGCTATGGGATTTTAGGGGCAGAGGGAAGGATGCTGCTAACTTCCTACAGTGCACAAGACCACTCTCCATACCAGTTATATGACCGAAAATACCAGGAATACCAAGTTTGAGAAGCTGTGGTGTAAGAGGCAACTGAAGTTTAAGAAAGAAAAGGAAAAAAATCAACTCTTAAACCCTGCTAAACAAACTTAGTAACTGTTTTGATTTAAAGTGTTTTTCTCCCAAGAATTCCCAAACTTGAACCTCTACCCAGTGACTGGAGGATCATCCGAGGCATAGGGGAAGGAGGTCTTCTTAACACCCCAACTCACGTATGGGAAACAGTGGCCAGATTACTTCAGCAACTTGCTTAGACTAATATCTATTGGGATAGCAATGACCCGTCAGAAGCCAGCGCTTGAAATTCTCCCACATAGAAGACACCACAAACCAGACTTGCTATGCAGCAAATGTCTTAGTATTTCATCCTCATGGTTAATTAATATGCCCAATTAGTAAAGACATTTAAAGCCACTAACTTATAAAATTAAATTTATGAAACTGTCATTTTAATTTGCTCCTGTAATTCAAAATCATCTCTATGAATGGTATAATGCAAGCATTTGTTGGACAATAAAGAAGGAATAAGTCATAGTCCATGTTTTCAATGAGTTCACAATCTCAAAGACTTACAAGAAGGCACACAGCCAACAATTTTAATAGGATGCTATGTGATCTGGTAGAAATATGCTCAAGGTGCTAAGAACAAATGGAGATTTAAATCAACTATCTGTGTCGATACATTTGCCAGAGTGACAATGCTCTAGCAATCTTGTAGAATGAACAAGCCAGGAAGGTGGAATAATGTGGTGTTCCAGGCAGAAAGACAGCACATGTGTGAGGAGGGAGTTGTAAACATGCTGAAGCCACTGAGGAATGTGAAAAAAAGCTGATAAAGGCAGAAGTCTGTCTCTGTGGTGCAATGATGGCAGAAGAAAGAAGAGGCCAGGCCTTAAAGGGCATGGAAGACATTTCTGTCCTACAAGGAGTTTAAAGGACTTAAGGATTTCAACATCACGCTCATGTTTTCAGAAAGAAAAATACTCTATCAGTGCAGAATGAACCGAAGCGGGAGTGAAAATGAAGAGAAGGCATTAGTCAAAAAAACATACTATAAGAAGTAAAATTATCAGGAACTAACTCTAGAAGATTCCAGCCTCTGGCTGAAGCCTCCGGTAGACAGTGTCGATGAAAAGGAAACAGAGCAAGAAGAGGTGGCAGAATGAGGTGGCAAGTTGGGGTGAGGGGGTGTAAGCACCTGGCAGTAGAGCTCACATCTTTGTTCAGGGCTGTATCTCCCCGCACCTTACAGTGTTCTACTAGGAGGAGATCAATAAATTTGTGAATAATGACATTTCTCATTTTGAGGTACTGAAGGGATACACTGATGATTTTTTAGCCAAGAATATTTCCATATAGATCCAAAACTTGAGAAGTTTGGACTTACAGGCAAATAACCAAAAAGTAGATCAAAGGCAACGAGTAAGGAAATACTGATTATTAAAGGAGAAGAAAATGGAAAAGACCAGAGGCCAAAAAAAAGAAAAAACAGAGGAGCAAAGTTATCAATGGAAGAAAATGTTATAATGGAGTGAAAACACTGAACAAGAAAAGAATCAACATACCAAATGCCAAGAAGAGTCAAGTTAATATGAGGACTCTAAACACTCCCATCTTCTTGGGACAGTCAGGTCTAGAGACCAAGATAGAATTGTCACTTTGTGTTTCAGATTATAATATAGAAATTAGGTATCAGGTTTAGAAATGCTGAGGTCACATTTTCAAGAACATGCTTCAGGGAGGCACAGCCTGAGAGACAAATTAAGGAACAAAGGGAACATGAGACAGCACACACTTGGAACCCACATGACCTGTTCCCGGCATTTCTTATTTGGGAAGGAAGGAGAGGAATGAGGAAATAAACAGGGAAGAGTGTGTGGTTGCATGGCCAGGCGGCTGAGCCCTGGTGCTGCTCACTTACTCGTTCTTCACAAAGGCGTGCTTGTTGATGGTCTCCACAACGTCTCTGAAGAGAATCTTGGAAGTGAGAGTGTAGCCATGGTGCACTACTGGCTCTCCATCGGGGCCATCCCAGCAGTCAACTGCCAAAAACAGAACTTTACATCAACAACCCAAAGGTGTTGGGGCTCACTAACATTTCTGGAAATCTCAGGCAAACATTATTTTAGGTCTATTATTTGAGATCATACATAATGTGATTACAACAAAGATGTCATACAGAGAAATGGATGGTCTGGCCCATTTTTCAGAATATTTCAGAGCACTCATAGTTACTGAAATGTCATATGACAAGCAGCCTAGCTTTCATCAAAAACTCTCATTCGACACTGCTCTAACTCCAATCAAGTGTACTCAAGAACAGTGATATTTCTTAGCAGGTTGTTTCTCTACTAATTTCACTTGTTCAGTAATTAAGGTTTCAAGTCACTAATGGGGTTTCTCATTATTTCACACTTAAACTCATTATATTTTAATTAGGTATATTTATATTATATTAGCTCCACAGTAATATAAAATAACATTGACTTTGTAAATTCAAATTCTCGACTCTGCCAAGACTTACATCTATAGGCTAATGATTTAATTATTTAAAACCTCACATCCCCTATCTATAAAAGAAAAATAGTATTTACATCATAGGTATAAATTTATAGCAGGTGTGTGCTCAATTGACTAATAAACATCCTACAGCATCTCCTGCCCCCCACCCCCACGCCCCAACATCCCAGTCGCTTAGACTTTCAATGGCCTGTTCCTCTTCCATGTTGGCACATGGCTGGACTACATTTCCCAGTCACCCCTGCAGTAGGACAGTCATTGAAATGTGAGCAGAAATAATGCACTCCATGACCAGGACAGTTTATGAAACCTACCCTTCACAATTATCATTGCTTTTTCCTGTCTGTTGTGACTTTAGAAGCCATGTGCTACCAATGGCACAGCCACACAACAGAAAGAGCCTGGACCCCTACGACACTGCTTGACAGAGTCATCCCTTATGGGGGGATGTGGTGACATACATCTGAGGAGGTGTGCATCTATTCCCCTCATCATATAGTGCTGCAAACCAATAAAACAAAAAAAAAAAAAGTAAAAATAAAAAGATTCACCCATCAGTAACATTCATTTTTTTAAGGAAAAAAAAAAAACTTCAATTGTTTTTAAGACAAAGATTTCAGTTTTGATTGTGAAACGAACTAGTGCGCTTTAATACATATCCTAGCTGCTGTCTGATAAATTTACCTTATTCTCTCCAATACCCACCTCACAGATGCCCAGGTAGGCAAGCTTCCTCACACACAGTCTGACACCCCCACCCCATGCCTTTGCTTCTTTCATTTAAGGACTGACATGCCCCTTTCATTTTCATAAATCTCACGGGGCTAAGCTAGGAGCCCCATAGAACCCTGCCAACTCAAATGCAAAAGAGTCTGGCAGGTAACAAAAGATGCTGCTGAGAAGACCATGCTTTGGAGACACACAGAATAGGGTTAAATTGCTCCTGTAGGCCTGAAAATGAAGTCAGATGTATCAAAAGCATCTTCTCAAAGAAGTCCTGGCCCTCTTTTGGTAAGTCTTCAACATTCTTCGTCTCTGGATATAAGTGTAGAAAGTGTGAACATATATTTCAAAAATATCTAATTTTAGTAATTTATAACATTTCCCCTCCATACCAGAGGGGAAAAGCATAACAGGATTTCTCAACATGACTATCTTTACAAAAAGACTGCAAAATAGCAAAGATAGTGCCACATGATTGATCACACACAAGCATGGTGCCTTCCTGCTCATATCACAACCCAGGCAGAATGAGCTTGAGGATGGACTCCCTGATGTTTAGTGTTGGGGCCTGCTTCCATCACTGGTCTGTTAAATGAGGATTGTAACAGTGTCAAAAACTGCCAGCATTCACAGCCAAGTCTAAATGGCAGGGAACTTTCCTTCAAGAGTTAATGGTGTACTGGGAACGCTGGCAAGGTAGAAATCTTCAAAACCAATTCCCCTCACTTCAAAACAGCCCAGGGCTGTTTCTCAATATGGTCATACATTAGTGGTCCCCAAAAGCAATCGCTAAAGAGCTGGTCACTTCTAAAGACCACCCAAGCAGCTAACATAATAGCTTTCCATAACAGAACTTAACAACATCCCATCCTGACAGAGCTCCCAGATGTAACAGAAAAGGTTGTAAACCGATTACAAGTGCAATGCAACATCAATTCCATAATGAGCGTAAAAATCCCTTGGACAGAACATCCATATTTATTAAGCAACTCAGACTAAAAAATCAAAGGAATCAAAGGCCATGTAAAAAATGTTATCACGATGGTTTACTGACAAACCCACTTCAGCAGAATAGACTTTCCAGCCTCCCCAAGCTACTTCGTCTATATCCTGACCAAGAACATTACTGCAGCTGAACTAATGGAAATGGAAAACAAACACCATCAAAACAGAAGCTGGAAAGTGGAGAAAGTCTTTGGGCCACAACACAAAGAAACTGTCCAGAATCATTACTCTCCCTCTCCCAGGGCGATGCTGGCAGGCCTGCTTCCAAAAAATATCCCTCCTTCCAAAAAATATTGATGAGACCTGCTACATCCTATGAATCAGGTCTTTAAATCCTAACTGCAGCTATTTAAGAACAAATGCAATTTCATTGGACCCATGGTGGAGAGAGGACAGCGGGCTGGCCACACAAAGATGTCTCTGGGCTCAGTCTTCCCATGAGAACTAAGATTTCTAATCAGAGGACTAAGACACAAAAGATCATGTTATCCAACATGAAGTGCTCAGAGCACTGAAATATTTAGACATGAACCCTAATCACGAGCTTAGCCACTGTCACCCTTATGGCCACCCTTCACTCTGGGACTCATGACCCTTTCCCTAGACTGCCTAACCTGGGCCAGTGACCCTCATTTGCTGCCTGAGAGGCCCAGTCACATCACTTATCTCTCACTCCTCCTGGAGAACCGTGAAATGAGGGCGTCAAATCTACCTGATTCAAATGCCAGCTTCCAAGTTTCCCAGCTGCAGGACCTTGAGTCACTACCCTACAGAAGTCATCACTTAAGGAGATGACTTTATCTCCTTTAATGTAAGAATTAGGAGAGAAGGGATGAAAGCACTAGATAGGAATCTAGACCACCAAAAGGACCAAAATCATGGTAACCTATTCCAGTCCATTCCTCCCTCTAGTACATCGCAGGCCAACATGACAAGCACAATTTCAAAGAGAAAATAGATCAAGTACAAAGCTAACCAAGTCTGCCAGATATATATTTTTGTTTAATTAAAAAAAAAAACTTCCAGAAACAGTAAATTGATTTTCACTGTCCAGTTATGGATTATTAAAACAGTTACAGGGGAGGCATTTGTTGATACAAACTGGTGACAGAGGTATTTGAGAGGCTGCATTTTCTTTAAAGGTATCGCACAGCTGTGTGTATTCTCAGTGTGTGTGACTATCTGGAGCAGGCAGCCTTTTAGACTAGGATAGCCAGGTAGGTTGCTCCTTTCTATTACTCTGGTGACTTTCAGGAAGGAAGAGAAAGGGTCGAAGAGAAGGTTGATATTCAATCTCATCTACTGTATACAGTTTCTAAAAGTCTGCATTTTAAAAGTACAAGACCAGGGCCCTCCCTGGTGGCGGAGCGCGTTAAAGCACAGCACTAAGAGGCTTAAGCCACTTCTCATGAGTTCGATTCCCGCCCACCCCAGAGGAGATTCACATGGCGTGGCAGACCTCTCCTGACCCGCCCGCTGCTCCCCTCAGCAGTGTACTTCGTCGATCTGCCTGTTCTGCTCCCCGCTCTGTCTCTGGTGAACCCTCTCACCCTCTGCATCTCTGGCCTGTACCCCAGTTCTATATAAGCAAATAAATAAATCTTAAAAAAAAAAATACTATAAGACCACTGGGGGAAAAAAAGAGACTAAAAATCATTTGTGCCTTACTATAAACTATCTTAATCACACAATTTTCCTTCTTAATAACTCAAAACTAGAGTATTAGAAGTTTCATTCAGTAGAAATAGGTGATGATGAGAACATAGTTAACTTGAGGGAGACACTTTGAACAGAGAATCCAAAAGAGCAGAAGGCAGGGTGCCTGGAAGCCTGGGAAAGCAAAAGAAATCAAGCACAGGACACAGAATTTTCAAGACTGTGAAAATGCCAAAAACAGACTATCACATTCAAGAACCACTAACAGCCATCTTCTATATCTGGATTTCAAGATAATGTGAACAGTTAAAATGATGGACACCGATCACTGTGGATGCAATGAAAGGGGGCCCCCAGACACAGGGAAAGGTCAGACTGCAAAGTTTGTTGAGCATTGAGTGAACAAAGTGTTGACTGAAGGCCGAGAGCAGAATATCACCTCAAGACCTTTTGTCGCTTGTCAGATTTCTCCTTAAGTTAATATTTTATAAGCATCTTCATTATTTAGTTGCTGAAACTACTCAACTGTCAGTCACTATTGTCTGAAGGTGCTCTCAGCCATCTCTTGAAAAAATGCCATACATCAATGCATGAATTTCCAGGGCTAAATTCCCAGGAGAGTCCCGATAATTCTGTGTGCAGATAGTTTTTAAATATCTAGGATTTCTCAAATATATTAGTTTACCTTTCTAAAATTATTGTCACTTTTGTAGCAGAAAATTCTTCACATGAGAAACTCTCTGACAAAGAAAGGTTCACCCAGTCACCAGGCTTATCTCACAGTCCTGCACTGTCTCCAACTTGCTACCCACTGCTGACTCACAGGAGAGCCCCACCAAAACACAACTCCCGTTTACCCCAAGGACTTGTCATTTCATCAACAACAAACTCTTTTTTTAGCATCAAAATGTTTCAGAGTTCACCCTCAACTGCCTTGTCTTGGCTAACAATCAGCTTACCCTGGAGGACACTACTTCCTTTCTCACAGATAATTTTTGCAGAAATCATAGAACCAAAAGGTAGTCTCCAAGTCTTTGCTGTTAATTCTAAACAACTGTCATTAAAAAAAAAAAAAAAAATTCTCAGGCCCTTCCTGGTGGTGCAGCGAGTTAAAGCACAGCACCAAGATGCTAAAGCCACTTTCGCATGAGTTCGATCCCCACCTGCCCCGGAGGTGACCCACATGGCGCGGCAGACCTCTCCTGACCCGCCAGCTGCTCCCCTCAGCAGTGTACTTCGTCCATCTGCCTGTTCTGCTCCCCACTCTGTCTCTGGTGAATCCACTCATCCTCACAACTCTGGCCTGAAACCAAGTTCTTATATGAATAAATAAGTAAATCTTTAAGAAAGAAAAAAAAAAAAAACGGGGGGGGGAGAAAGAATATTCCATTTGAAAAAAAAAAAACCTCTTAAGACCTTATTTTATGTAGGTTGACTTTTCTGGTAGCTTCCAAGTGGCCTTTTCTATAGCAATTTTTAAGTGTCTGGTTTATCATTTTTGACAGCCACTTTTAGTTAAAACCTTCCCACCCTGCACTAAGTCTTCTTCTATACGTAAAATGCTTAGTCGCTCCCCCCCAGCAGACTAACCACCCTACCTTCCCATGAACTTGCCACCAGGCTACATAGCAAATGACACCAATCAACTCCCAGCTACCAAATGCAACCAGATTGGTCAAAAGAGGCCAATTTGTGTGAGCCGCCCTCATTTACCCTCGAGCTTTTTCTGCTTTAAACATTACACTGACTTTAGTCCTCCACAACATTACCCCCCTCAGTGAGAGTATACACTGATATAATTTTAACAGTTACATACAAAACTCAGAATTCTGGAATCTTTATTTTGCCTGAATCCTTCTATGGAGTTCAGATATTGTTATCCAATTGTTAAAATGTCCGTGTCAAAGTTAAAAAGGCACTGTAACCTCAACAGAAGCAAAACTGAAATTCATGTTCATCCTCTCTGATCCCTCATCTCTCAGGCCTTTTTATGAATCATTTCAGCAATCTTCCCACCATTCTTGCTTTGACATCACCTCCACTCCCTTCACAAACACATGTCCTAAAAAAAATTATCTTCCTACACTGCTGCAAATCTGATCCTGTCGCTTCATATTTTAAAGCACTTCAGTGGATCCTCATCACCAAACGCTAAAATTGAAATCCATCCCACAGCAGTCAAACCCCTTTGTGACTGACATAAATCTACCTTCCCTGCCTACCCAATTTCTCCTCACCTCTGACCTCCCACCTTACTCTCCATACCACTTCTCTACCATACGTAAGATTCAACTGTAAAATTCTCACACCATACTATTACTTTTAAAGTCCACCCCTCCTTCGAGACTATGAGTTCCTTGAAGACAAAAACCAAGTCTTACATTTCCATTCTTCCCCCCAGGAACCTACTAGCAATTTAATAAATGTTGACTAGTAGCTGGAACATAAAGTTTCTTGAAAACAATTATCTTGAACTATTTTTTTCTTTAATCAAAAATATCCCAATTTTTCACAACCGAAGGTGTGCTTCCCAACTTCGAGTACACATCTCCATCCTGACTGAGGCGTGAGGAGTCAGGCTAACTGGACCTGACTGACTAAGGCTTGTTCACAGCGCACCTCAGAGCTCCAGCACGTACCTTCCACACAGCGGCAGCCCTCCTGCAGCACCCGTGCGTACATGTCCACTTTGGACTGAGAAAGGAGCTGGTCCCCAGTCAGGTAAGTGTTGTGGGAGGATGCGATGTAGTAGTTGCAGAGGGGCTGGTCCATGTCCTGGTACACTTCATGGTGCAGTGGGTTAAATATGTCACAGGCAGGACTGCGCATGAAGTTCGTGAAGCCTTTGGAAGAAAGAGTGAAGCACCTGAGCCTTAAAAGTGTATGTATTCAAGTGACTCATCCAAGGACAAAAAAGTCAGAGTGTGTTCTTGGTGATTATTTTATGTACCCTTAGTTCAGCTCTCCTAGGAGAAACTGGGTCAATGAGAGACTTGCTTCACGTCAGTCGATGTCCAAAACATTGGGGGAGTAACAATCGATATACAACTTTGCAAAAATCAGGCTTGAGAACATTCAGTGAATGGAGAGGGCTTACTACAAAGCAGGTCAGTACCTATGTTATGCAAGGTCGCCCACCAGGTGTCTGATTTAGGGCTATAGCCATCTTTCTCCTAAGATATACAACGACCAATTAGCAATTTAATAGGTTATTTGGGTAACTTGGAATGGACTATTGTCAGTAACATAGTCTTGCTGGGGCATCAGGTCAAAAGTCAGACCTGGCCTAATTTCAAAATGCAATTATTGGTTTGGGAGGTGTTATGACTGGCACACTTCATACATATGAAACTGTGCTTGAAGATTAATGCAGGTCACACTGCGAGTTCTACAGTTTTTCAATTGTTTATGGCCAACGTTGACAAATCATGTTTAATTTCATCTTTAGGGTCCTAATAAGGAAAGGATTCCTTTCTTAGTGAAGGTTCAAATGAATTTATCTCCTCAAGTTCTTTTAAGATGATTTTTTAATGATATAACTGTTAAATTATTCTTCTTTATTTAACTACCCTTCACTCCATGAAGCAAACACATGGTATCAAAGTCCCCTTGTCTACACATGGTCTGGGAGTAGAGGAAATAGAAGGTCAACCAGCTGACATGAAAAGACAAGCTATGTCTTTGGATGGTACTGAGCACAGGACAGCCAGTGATGTTTCCTGAAGATAATCTCTCTGCCTGGGAGAGCCTCCTCTTGAGTAGGAACCTGCAGTTTATTAGCCCACATATTTAACTACTTATACATATATGTAGCTATGTTTATATTATTTATATATAAAATTCTATAAGTTAGATTCTAAGTGTGTAACTGTGGGTAACTATAAGATGAGACAGTTACATTAGCAAAATTTGTGCTTCCAGTAAAGCTCTCTAATACCCCTAGGAGGTAAAATAAGTTTGTTGCCAACATTTTCTAAGAAACATATAAGCTTACTAGCTTCATAAGGTGCTAGTTTCATAAGATACTAGTGTTAGAATCAAATTCTCTTTTATAATATTATCAGTTTGAGACTACTTCCAAAGCAGCCATTTGAGAAAAGGCTAAATATTTCTTGCCACCTATCATAACTAGTGGTATCAAATTAACTTGCTAAAAGTAGAAAACATATATCATTGTAAAAATAAGACAAATAGCAATGTCAAGACATCTTCTTTGTAGAAAACGTGTTTGCCGGCCTGTATTAGGTCGTTACCTACTGATTTGCTGTCCTAAAAATTTTGCTAGACCTTAACACAGTTGAATGATTCAAAAAGAAATAACTAAGAACATTCTTTAGTTTACCTTCTATGCCAAGAACATTTTTCGCCTTATTTTCTTCAGAAACTTCAAATTTCCTTATGATGTCAAGACAATAGTCTGTTGTCACATTATTCATCTAAACAAAACAGAACATGAAGAGAACACCTATAATTTCATATTTGTTCCTTTATACTAAAAATGAGTGCTTACTGTAACACAAGAGTAACTAATATGGCATTGGAAGAAAAAATAGACATATAGATCAATGAAGCAGAATTAAAAGCCCAGAAATGAATCCATGCATGTATCAATACCTAATTTTGTTGTTTTGACAACAGACCATATACTGGAGAGTGTCTCTTTAACAAATGGTGCTGGGAAAACTGGGCAGACACATGTAAAATAATGAAGTTGGAACACTAACTTCATACACAAAGATAAAATCAAAGTGGATCAAAGATTTAGATAAAAGACCCACAACAATAAAATACATAGAAGAAAACAGAAAACACTGGCAATATACTTCATAACATCACTACTAACAGAGATTTTAGAGACTTAACCCCTTCTGCAAGAGAAATAAAAACAATTGGGATTACCTCAAATTAAAATGCTTTTACCACAGCACAAGAAAATGTAAATAGATTAAAAAGACATCCTACTGAATGATAAAATATTCATGTTAAACATTGACAAGAGAGAATAGTCAAGATACATAAAACTTATTCAATTTAACAGTAGAAAACCCAGTTACTAAATAGCAACAGGCCTGAATACTCTGTTCTCTAAAACTGATATCCAAAATACCAATAGATGTTTAAAAAAATTGTTTTTCACTTTTAATGAGGGATATTAAAAACAAATCAAAACCTCAAGAAGATAACATCTCAAACCCATAGGAATGGCATGTATTAAAAAGTCTCCTAACAACAAATACTGGAAGGTTTAAGAATTAATGAGGAATAATCCACTTTCTGTGAAAGTTCAAGTACTAAGGATTGACTCAGGGAAATGCAGTGAAAACTCATAATGAGAATTGAAATGTAAAGAGTCTATTAGCCTTGTTCATCTTTCTTCAACCCCTGGTCTCATGTAATTAACCTCCCCACAGCAAATTCTGCATTTAACACAAATTTTCGAGACCTCACTTAAAAGTGACACTACACGAATATAGATTTTATTATATGAATGAAAGTTGAATATAGGTTAGTATCATTTATGGTCCTTTTTCTGATTCTGCCTCCTGTTTGACATTGCTAAGTGAAGTAAAAAACCGTATTTCTCTACTCAATCCCTCTTTCCTATGAAGCTTACTTGACAGTGATTTACTATCAATGCCTGAGCCACCTTCTGTCTCCAACACTGGTGGTTATTCTTTCCACACCAGCAAACCACTACTGAAAGTGTTTCGGGGACATTGCTGATGACTAAAGTAGAATCTCCCCCTTTCTCGTCCAGAGCTACTTTTCAAAGGAAATAAGCTAACATGTCTAGATTTTTTAAATGACCCAAAATTCCTAACTGTGATGTTAATATTAGTTTTATATACTTTAAATATTAATTTTTTATTGCATTAGATAAAGATTTAGCTCAGTTAGGCCTACAAAACTAACATCCCCTACCCACTCTCATTTTAGTTATGGCTTAGTTTTTCTTAAAATACTATTCCATGTTTAAATTATTCTGATTTTACAAATATTGACTGAGTTGTTTGCATAAATGATTGCAATTTATTTCTTAGAGTATTTTCCTGTTTTGTTAATTGTTGCAATTCCTATTTATCTGTTTAATTTCAAATGCCATCACAAATTCTCCCCTATCACTCTGCTGGTCTCCCTGTATTGTCTTCCACAAAAATCAAAGGCAGGAGATAATCCATGAATTCTATTTTCCCAATAAAAGTCATTCTCCTTCCAGGCAGGTTGAGTTCTAGAACATCACTTGGCTTTTCCTGACCCTATTTGTCAGTCTTAGAGCACTCGAGAAGTAAACTGTTTATTTCTTGCATGTGTTTTTGTGCATGTTCTTGTGGTTTGATTTTTTTTTCCCCCATTCCACACACATCTGGTTAGGGAGAAGATTTTAGATTTTAGGTCAGAAATTGTTCCTGTGATTTCCGGCTTCCAGAATTGCTGACAATATGTTTGGTACTATTTTGCTTCCAATTCTATTCATGGGATTTATTATTCATTACTTTGACTAGAGTTCTTTTTTTTCTCTTTCTGCAAGTGTTTACAGTTTCACTTTATCCTTGGCATTGCAAAACCCCACTGTGACTTATCTCTGCTGGATCTTTTTACATTCACTGTGCTTGGCACACAGTGTGTCCTGCCAGTCCAGACATCGCTATCTTGAGTGTTAATTATGTGTTACAGTGATTATTCCCGCCTTCATGTCTCCTTAGCTTTTCCTACAACTCCTACTTTTCAGATAGTAGACTGGACCTTCTGAATCAATCTTTTCTTTCTGATTTCTACTTTGTTCTACTTACTGGCAATTTTCTCCACTTTTATCTTTTTAAAGATTTCTTTACTTATGCATACAAGAGCTGGGGTACAGGCCAGAGGTGGAGGGGGGGTGAGAGGATTCATCAGAGACAGAGTGGGCAGCAGATCAGGCAGATCTAGTGAAATACACAGATGAGGGGAGCAGCAGGTGAGACAGGAGAGTCTGCTGTGTCTGTGGGTAGCTGCCGGTGGGGATCGGACGCCTGCTGCAGTGGCCATGGGTAGCATCATAGTGCAGTGCTTTAATCTCCTGCACCACCAAGGAGGCCCCACTTCATCTACTGAGTTTAGTTCTCTCCTCTTGCTTCCCCCTGAACTCTCTTCTCTCTTGCTTCATGGCTGCATTTCTTGAATCACTCTGATATGAAAGGCAGGTTTAAAATTTTCCTTCACCCTACATTGCCTCAATTTCCTAACGGCTTCTTATACTACTGGTTCATCTAGGTCTCTGCTTTGTACAGTACAGAATCTCCTCAAGTATGTGGGAATCCTGGACTCAGGTAAAAGACAATGGGGCTTTGGTGGGGGAGGGAGGTGGTGACATAAGATTCGTACACCTGTGGCCTGTGCCTCTGAATCATACACAGTGCTGTAAAACAATGTTACCTCAAGAAAACAACCCACTTTTTTTTTTTAATAAAACTCATTCTTTACAAGTTCAGGACATATTTAAAGCCAAATCAATTATAAATTGGTTGTACGTCTAGTATTCCTGTAGCTTACTTATTGGTGAGGGTCACTGTAGAATTCCCTGGCTGGACTATTTTACAAGATTTCTGACATAAACATATTTAAGGTCTTTTCCCCTTCTGACTGGTATATTAGTTTCCCAGGGCAACTGCAAGAAATGACCACAAACGTGGTCCATCAAAACAACATAGGTTTATTTTGTCACTGTCCTGGGGGCCAGAAGTCTAAAAATTATGGCATGACAGGGTTGATTCCCCCCCCAAAGACTCAGAGAATCTGTCTGGCCTCTCTCCTTGCTTCTGGCAGTTGTCAGCAACTGGCGACTCCCTGACTTAGGGCTCCCTACAGAACATTCTGTGTGTCTGTCTGTTTTTCTGTTACTTCTAAGAACAGTCATTGCATTTGGATTCACCCTAAATTTAGAAGTATCTAATCTCAGCATTCTTAATTGTAACCCTATCGCTCAATAAGGACACAACCACAAGTACTGGGGGTTAGGACTTGGCCTTCTCAATTGGGGTTACTATTCAATCCACTATGCTTACAACAGTCCCGTCAAAAAAAGTTTCCCAGTTTCATGCCTCGAAGAGATAAACTTGGGGGCTGAGTTTTGAAAAAGAGTTGCGGTTCTAATACACTAATGCATTACTGTAAGGTATTCCTTAATCCTTATATTTATTATTCTTTCTGCAAAACAAGATACCCAAGACATAGAAGTTTAACAGCACTACCAGTATCCTTTATGACAGTTAGGTAAGAGGGCAAGCGAAACGGGGTTCTGTTTTGCTGTTCTCACACATGAATTGTTGAGTGGGCATCTGGTCACCTGACTACAGCCAGTGGTCCAGGACAACCTCACTCACATGTCTGTGTCTGTGGTTGGCACTGACTTGTCTGGGGCTCTTTATTTTTCTCATCATTAAAGAAACTAGCCTTCAAGATAATTTCACAATTCTAATAGAGAAGCCAGTGGAATCGTCAAGGCTGCCTGAAGCTTTGCCATCATTTGCCATGATATACGGGTCATACCAAGAACAAAACCATCCAAGATTCAAGGGGTGAGAAAACAGACCCCACTTCTTGATGGGAGATGCATCACAGAAATACACAGTTATCTGCACACCCAGCTCCCATAGTGCACGTGTTTCTGTACAGCATCCACAGTAGGTGCCTGCTGTGCCTTAGTCTAGAATACTGTGGCTCATCCTTCTCTAGCTCAAAATTTCAGTTTTACATCAGGACGGATGAGGGGTAGTTGTCTTGCTGGCTGCAGAGGTAATGGGCAAAGATGTAGAGCCCTAACAACCCCAATATGACTTCCAACTAATATTTGTGTTTTCAAACCTCTGGTCTCGTAGATTTCTTTTTCTTTATTTTTAAAGATGTATTTATTTATGCATACAGAACTGGGGTACAGGCCAGAGGTGCAGGGGCAGTGAGAGGCTTCACCAGAGACAGAGTAGGGAACAGAACAGGCAAGTAGACGAAGTACACTGCCGAGGGGAGCAGTGGATGAGAGAGGAGAGGTCTGCTGCACCGTATGGGTCATTGGGGATCAGACTTGCACTGAAGTGGCTGCGGCTCACTTGCAGTGCTGCACTTTAACCCATTATGCCACCAGGGAGGGCCCTACTCTCCTGTTTTTTAGATGATTGTGTAACTTAATTCCTGAGTCTTTAGGGGTTCTCCTGGGCAAGTTTGTGGTTTCTGGCTCTGTGGACTTGAGCTTTAGAGGGCCTCTTTAGATCAGACAGATTTCAAGGTTCTGTTCTTTCTGTCTTCTCCTTTGTTCTCCTTCTAATTTTACATGGTGGAGAGGGGTCTCTATAGAGGATTTTTGGGTAATTCCAGGAAGGACCTGTGAAGCCTCTCTAAATGAATGGTCACTCAATTTCCAATTGAAAGATATCTACCAAAATAACTAGTTATCTCTCCCAAA